TAAAAGTGACCAGTGTCCTGGTCCATTCCTGGGTGCCTGTTTATCTGGGTTGGACTCAGCTGGCCAGGATGGGGCTGTGGTATTGATGCTGGGAGTGAGCAGCAGCGCAATCCATCCTGCGATGTGGGGCTGTGTTATGCTGGGTAGTGAGCAAGATATTGGGGTTTGTGCTTGGTCTTCATGTTGGTAAATCTACCACTTCATGCATCATTGGGAGTGCAAACTCCCAGATATAATCTGATGTGGCTTTTCTGGGAGGATGAAGTTTTATTTACAGATCTCTGCACCACTGTTGCTGAGATCAGCATACTTGTATACCTAGTGGATATGTGTGCTTAAGTGAGGCAATTTTTATTGTCACATCAATCTGTTTGGAAGAGGCTGGAGGATTTGTGCAAGGTCCTGTTGAAGGTGGATGAAGCCCAGCATCCAGTGGCTACTACTCTGTCTAGTCCTTCCTTCATTTCCACCCATGCTACTTCCCTCTTAGCTTTTTCTCAGTTTCAGCACTACATTTCTTTCCTGTCTGCATCAGATTTCCATGTGTGTTCCTACTTCCGTGTGAGTTTTAATGTTATTATAAGTAGTTCTTTAACTGACTTTGATCTCCCCCGTTTCAACTCCTCTTCTTCCTGCCCCTTTTCTTGGACCTATTCTTGTCTCCCTTGGTCTAGGATTGAAATAATGCCTTGATTTTTCAAGAAGTTCTGCATTCTTTAGCCCAGCACAGGAAAAAAAATCTACCACGTAGCCTCTTGAGCAGCTTCAGATCTTGCCATCTCCATGTTCACATCCAGCACCTAGATGTGCAGTGAGTGGGATCCCAGTGATGCAGGAAGGGGGATGTGTCCTCATAGTGCTTGACCTGTGGTGACAGCATCATCTAATTCTTTTTTCATTAGCTGTGAGCTGTTTGAGACTATTGTTCCTGGGGAGTTCAGTGAAGGGCATGGGAATTTTTTCTTCCTCCTTCCACACCTTCCCTGATAAATGCAGCTTGTTTAGGACATTGGCTTTGTTCTTTTTTTTTTTTTTTTTTTTTTTTTTTTTCGTTTTGGCAAATGAATGAGCCTGGCCAGCAGAACCAACCTCTGATCCTTCGGACACAGTGAGCTTTTCTTGTTACTCAACTTCCACAGTCCCAGGGTTATCCTCCTCGTGGAAATCCAGGCTATTTCCTGGAGCCAGGATGAGAGGGAGGCCAGTGCAGGAGAGTGGTCACGTGCAGGGGCTTTGACAGCAGGAGGCAGTGACTTGCTGTCCCATGGGGGACTTCAGGAGTGGCAAATGTCCTGGCTGGGGAGCGCTGGTCCTGCAGCGCAGCTGAGCCCGGCAGGACAGCAGCCCTGCAGGTGCTCGTGCAAGGTGGCATGAGCCTAGCTTCACTTTCTTCCTCTGTGTGGCTGGGGTCAGGGCATTCAGCCTTATCCCAGACCAGGCTGATGGCTCCCGGGCTGTGGGCTATAGTGGGGTAGTCAAGGTCCTTCTGCTGCTCTTCGTTTTTAATGAGAAATCCCTTTCTTGTCAAGCCTGGCACAGACTTCACACAAAAATACTGGTTTGGGTGGATCAGCAGTTACCAACAAAGGCATTTAAACCATTCTCTGATATCTCCATCCTGGATGCCTTCAGATTCCTGCCTGTCAAACTGTGACAAGGAAAGATACATAGAAACTGGAGCTAACTAGTGAAATGGGAACAATGGGCAGTAAAGTGTAGTGCTACCATGAGGAAAGTAATCAAAGGCTTAGAAAGCCCTGACTTTAAAATCTCAGCTGATCCCTTGCATTCAGCATTACAGTCGATAAACTTCTCTTTGCCTAAAGCCACATTTGTTTTAGATTGAATACTTTTCCATATGGCTCTCTGGCTGGGCTGGTTCCTTTTGTATCTGTTGTCCTTTATGACTGTATTTTAATTCCAGTTGGAAGCTGCAGCTTTGACTGGGAGAGCCAAGCTGATGGGCTGTAGCAGCATCCGTCCTGGCCACCCCAGGCCAGTGGGCTCTTGGTGCTCCGTGGCATATGGGGCCACTGAGAGGAAACCCAAATGGTGTGCTTGCACCGCAGCACGGCAAGCTGCAGGCACCCAGGAGAGCGTGGCTGGTCGAGAGGAGGTGTTACTTTCCTCTGGCCAGGTCTGGGCTTCTCAGGAGAGATACTGGGATCTGGGTAGGTAGTGGCTACTTATGGCACGTGGGCTACAAGGAGAGGCTGCGGGAGCGGGGCTGGCCCAGTCTGACAAACAGGAGGACATGACAACATCCTGCAGCAGCCAAGTTCTACTTGATTGGGGGCTGCAAGGAAGCCACTTCTTTGTGGTGGCAGGCTACAAGTTGCTGTTTGGGAGGTTTGGGTTGGACATTAGGAAAATGTATTGGAAACTGTGGTCAACAGGACTAGGGAAGTGATCATCCCCCTATGCCCTGGTGAGGCTGCACCTTGAATCCTGTGTTCAGTTTTGGGCCCCTCACTACAAGAAAGACATTGAGGTGCTGAAGTGTGACCAAAGAAGGGCAACAAAGCTGGTGAAGGGTCTAGAGCACAAATCCTATGAGGAGCGGTTTAGGGAACTGGGCTTGTTTAGCCTGAGTTTCTAATGAGGTGGGTGTTGGTCTCTTCTCCCAAGTAACAAGTGATTGAACAAGCGGAAATGGCCTCAAGTTGTGCCAGGGGGGCTCCACAGAGGTATTTAAAAGATGTGTGGATGTGGTGCCTGGGGACGTGGTTTAGTGGTGGACTTGGCTGCATTAGGTTAATGGTTGGACTCAATGATCTTAAAGGTCTTTTCCAACCTAAATGATTCTATGATAAAAGCTTTCACCCTAGGCAGCTGGTGCAACACTGGAGCAGGTCCACAGGGAGACTATGCCATCTCCATCCTGGGAGATCTTGAAGACTGAGCTAGGGAAAACCAGGGCTGGCCTTACACAGTGTTGGAGATAGTCTGTCTTTGAGCTGGAGGTTGAGAAGAGACCTCGAGGGATCCCTTCCATCTTGAATTTTGCCCTCTTTCAGTTATCCATGGTGGCAATGTGAGTGAAGGTTGTGTGCCTACATGATCAGTGACTAAGGGGCTTTTGAAATCTCTGTTGAGCAGCTGCACAGGAGAGCAAGAAAAAGCAACTGTGTGAGAGCAAGAATTTTTTTTTAATAGAGTGACTGAGCTTTCCTTGAAAAGTGATCTGGGAGTCTTGTGAAAGCAACAAGATTTATTGTATAGCAAAAAGCATTTATTGTTTGTTAAACACTTAGGACGAGATTCACTAGCTGGATCACAGCAGTATACACTGCTCTGGCAACACAAAGTGTCTGTAAAACCAGCTTAATTGGCTGATTAATCTGGGTTTATAGCCACCTCATTTTTCTGGTGTGGTGAGGAACAGCCAGAAGAGAGAAGCTGCTGAAGTCCATGTGTTTAAACTAATGATCTGTCTCTCTGTAGGGAAACTAGAAAGGCAGGGTTTACTATGCTGAGCTGCTGCCCAGTGTTTCAGTAGAAAAGCAGAGTTCCCTGGGAGTGTGCAGTTCTCTGCATATATTATATACCTCATCAGCACTGAAACCTTGCATTTCTCACAGGGATTTCAAGAGAGGCTCTGCAGACAGCTTTGAGAGTTGCTATGATCCTAGTTTAGTAGAAGAATGTTTTGTTGGGAGTGTGTAAGAAGATGTAGCCTTGTCAGCAGATCAAGACCAGTGAGCAGTTTGGTTACTAAGTGTCACTAAGCAGAAATATTGGAAAAGGACCTTCTTTTGGTGTATATAGGGATATGTAGACATCAATACATACTTAAAGTAACATGTTTAAGTGCTGCCATGAATAAATATGAGCCCCTGAACTGGTGCTGGAAAGATGATCTCACTATTGCTTTGATGGGGTGCTTTGGTGCATTGCCTTTTGTTGTCTGTCCAGGTCTCTGGCAGCTGTTGGTGCCCCAGTCTCTTGTTCTTTTGACATTGTTGTGATTGCAATGATTGGCTCAGCCAGTAAATGAGAGGGTTTGAATACAGCATGTAACCTCTGTGCTGGCAGGTTCATGCCACCTTGTGCTTGGTGGGATGGACTTGCTAGAAGACACTGAGAGGAACCTGCTTTGAGTGTGAAATGTAAAGGATAAGAGGCAAAAAATCACTACAGGTGTGGGAGATCTCAGCTGGCTGGTGCTGCTAGCACCTTTCTTCCTGTTGTCTGCTGTGCTTGCAGCCTGTGCAGTAGCATGGTGCAGGTCATGTGCAATGGAGAGTGCTGCGAAAGCTGGAGATGCCGTTCAGAGGAACCAAATTGGTTGCTTGAGTAATCCTTTCATCAGTGTCACTTCTTAAAAGAACACTGCCAACTTGTGAGCAAATATAAAAATAAATGACTTGCATGAAGAACCTGTTACAGTGCTGGATGCTCAAGGGGTCGTATAATGGGAGTTTGGGAGGTCAAGAATTGGAGCATGTGCAGAACAGACCTGTTAAATGCAAAGATGTCAGAGAGCAGAGTCATTAGTGATGGATTTAGGAGAAGACAGCCTGCTTTTAATGTGGATTGTTTTCTAAAAGAAAGTTTTAAAATAGTGAAAATGTTCTGTGCTTCATTAAAATGATCTTTAGCACTTGCCAAAAAAATAATGTACTGGTGTGCCTGAACTAGGGAAAGGGGATTTTAAAAATAAAAAAAGAAAATATTAAACAGGAAAGCTACAAGACATCCCCAGCTTCTGGCAGGAGTCCTTGTATTACGATATGTTTTCACTTCCAGTGTCTTGCACCAGTCTGTCTGGAGAGCCTGGGAAAAGATGCTATTGAGTATTGTACATCCCGCCTGGAAAGCTTGTTGTTATTGCAGTTGGGTTTTCTAGCCAAATTAAAAAATTTTAAAATTATGCCCTTTATCCTGACGTTATTTAATTGATGTGCTTGCAACCGACATATGTGGGCAGCTATACATGTCACGGGCTTCATAATAACTGTAATGGGGTTTGTGTGTGTGTGTTTGCTTATTTTTTGAAGAGAAGGACATGCCAAACAGACCTTTGAGAGTGCGCGCACAGTCTCCAGATGGCAAGTTATCTTTTCGGTGGAAGCCACCTTATGGAGCAGGCTTTGGGCGTCCACGCAGCAGATCCCAAGGTTACCTCCGTGGGTACGGAGAGAGCAGCCGAAGGATGGGCTATGCTCCACTGCTGCAAGAGCGACAAAACCAGGAAGCGAGAAGGCTAGGTAAGTCAGTTTTCCTTGATAGCATTTAGCCAAGCTGGCACACTTTTGCAAACCCCTGCGGCTACTAGGTGATCACAGATCACATGTTGTTGTTGCCGTCAAAACGACTTCTTCCTATAAACAAAAATGCTTCCTATAATTGCATTCTGTAACAGGATCTTAACAGAACAATAGGGTGACCAGGGTAGAAAGTGTAGCAGAACTTGACGCTGTGTTAAAAAGACACCATGTGCATGTTACTCATATTAATAGCAGAGACAAGGGCTGGGGAGAAGAGCCATAACTCAGATTCTCCTTGGATGCGGTGAGACTGCTCTGAAGTCCATTTTTTCTTGTTCTCTTACACTTTACGTCCCTGTGTTATTTCAGGCCAGTGGAGAAAAAATTCAGTGCTTTAATTAAATGTATCCACCTTTACCATTAAAACTATTTAATGGGCTTCATACTAGAGTGTTACGCTCGTGTGTCTATGTTCTCTCCAGTTACTTCATGAGGTCCAGGTCATTGAGGGCTCCTGAGACAGTCAGGTTGGCCTCTGCTGTGCTCCCTGCTCTGCTGTGCTGTGACGGTTTGCACTCGTGCCCTAGGTCACCTGCCCTTGGTTTAAAGGATTTCCCATCTAACGGTATCAATGGGGTTTGCAATAGTTTTATTTCCCAAGAGGCTAAGCATTTCCCTTTGTGCTATTTGTGTCACTTGCCTGTGTCGTGGCTGTCCTGTCTCTGTCCTGCTGCCCCAGCTCCTCTCGCCCAAGCGGGTGCTAGGTCTGCACTCATGAGTTTTACTTTGCTCCTGTGCTGTTTGGGTGTGTTTGCTCGAGGTTAGGCTTCTTTCTCTCAAAATCTCTCCTGTAGGCTGGAAGCCCATCCCATAGATAGTCCAGTCTTGGGTTAAAAAATGGGTGATGATTCCAAAATCACACGTAGCTGCTGGAATTCCTGGCTGTGCAATGTAAATGTCTACTTCCCCTTTGTGCTTTGTGGGTTTTGTATTCAACGCACATCTTTATCTCTCTTCCTCCAAAGAGAGGGAACTCCTTGGCCACCTTTCTCAGTTATTCCTCATTTTCCTAGCAGGAATCCCATCATTATTTCTCATCCCTTCTCTAGTATTCACTTTTTCATCTTTCTATGCACCGCTCGCGGAGGGGACACTGGCGTCTGTGCTGAGGTGACAGGGTTGAGATACGTATGTGTGGGAGATGCTCTGCTGTTTGTTTGATGCCCGGCACATACCATCGCTCTGCAGGTTGAGAGCCTGTCCGGGGAGTACAGAAGTCAGTGGAAATCTTGTCATGGACTTAGTGGGAGCTCAGTAATGAACTTAATCTTGATGAGAAATACTGTGTAACATGGTTTGGAGCATCTACTATTTGTTTTCATTACTGTTGTACTATGTTTTTTTAAAGAGGGAGAACAAATGCTATTTAATCAAATTATCAGGAGAAGAACTCAATCCTAGAATACAGGACTCTTGTAATGGTCTTTTCATGTTAATAATTTGCTTTCATGCTTCTAAAATACCAGCTTCCCTGTTCTTACTGCATGCATATTGAACCATCTGACATAAATGCTGTGACTCTAAATAAATTAACTTTCAAGTAAGCTTCTCCTTTTGTATCTCAAAAAAAGAATAAAACAGAGTTCTGCCAGAAAAGACTTTGTTTTCAATTAAAAAGGTTACAGGAAAGTCTCTTTTTTTTCCCTTCATATACAGCCTCTGAGTCAGTTCATGTGGTTTCACTGCCCTCAAGGAGCTCCCAAGGACGGAGCCAACCTGTCTATAGGTCATCTTTAACTAAAAGAAAAGTCACGGGTATGTTTCTTTCACATCTGCTCTCAATTCATGGAGAAATTTGAATGCAATGAGATAGCTTTGTGATTTTTAGACTGCAAGTCTTTTGGTTCCTGAGCTGCTAAGTTTTTCTCTGTGCATTAAAGAGCTCGATTGGTGCCTCTGCTTCTGTAATTCAATCAGGATTAATAAAATGATACAACTCTGTGACATGGTTTGTTGGTTGGGTTTCTGTTGTTGGGGTTTTTTGTTTTGTTTTGTTTTGTTTTTTTTTAATCTCCTCCTCCCTAGCTATTGGCAAATGTTATGCACTACAATAACTGCATGAGAAGACTTGATTAAATCAAAGCCAGGACCTCCACAACGATATATCTTCTTGTCAGATTTCCTCCCCCTTTTCTGAAGGGTTGATTTCCAGAAGCCTCAACTTGGTCTGCAAAAATTTGCACTTTCTTTTGGAAAGAAGGCATTACATACTGCTGCCAAGGTTAAAAAGGATGAACAAGATTCTGAGTCATCTCCATGGCAGCGCCACTTTCTCACCCCCTCACATTGTGATGAGAATGCCGTGGGGATGGCAGAGTGTTTTGGATATTTTGATGGTGATGAAGAGTATCTTTGTCAGAACTGAGAACCATGGTATATAGAAATCCCACCTCACACCTTTTCTGGGGAGGTGATGGCATCCACTTCTCATGCTCACTTTCTCTGTTGAGGTGCTCTCATTGCAAAACTTTGTGAATAGGTCTCCTAAACAACTTATGAGTAGTAGATGGATCCTCTCATCCACTTTTGTGTAGTAGCTGTTCGGCTTGGAAAACCTGGAATTGTCTGAGAACCCTCTGCATTAAAAACCTGATTTGAAAAAATCAAATGTGGTTCCCTGCTGCCTGCCTTCTGTGTGGGCAGTGCTGGATTTCAGGGGTAACATGCCACCCACTGAAGAGAAGGGCAATCTTTCCCTGGACTTAAGTCATACATGACAAAGGTCCCTAGAGAATGAAATCATACTCCAGAGTTTACTAGCCCCTTTCCTTTCCTGAGACATCAATTTTTCCAGTGTTACTCTTCTGTTAAACTTGGGTTGGAAAGTTGCGCCTTGTGCATTCTGTGCCTCTGGGAGAATTGGAAATAGTCTCTGTGACACTAATAGGAAGAGTAATAAATCTTTCAAGAGGCAGTAGGTAGACTAGACTGGAAAAACGCAAAAGATATTCTGATATGTCAAAACAGTCCACATCAATGATTTTCTTTTTTTTTTTTTTTTTTAATTTTTGCCTTATATACTGTAAAAAATGAAGAGCTGAATTCAAACAACCTGTTTGAAGCACTCAAAAATGTAAAATATACAGGAATTCTCCCTTGTGAAGAATTTTTTTACAGTCCCTGATTTTACCGCCCTTCAAAATGAAACGAAATTTTAAATCTCAACATTTTTCATAAGGCAAAGTTTCTGGTCTCCAGGCAGATCTAGCAGTGAGTTTGTCAGAGACGATGAATGTCAGTATGTTAATAAGACAGTTGCTGTAAGTAACAGTTTGGGGACTGATAGCATATTGAAGGACTGTAGAACATATTGGTACTCTGGTCTTGTAAGCAGACAACTAACAGAAGAAATTTTGTTTCTATGGGGCACCATCAGTAACCAATGTACTTGTTTTTCCATTACTGCTGTATTTGTTATTTATCTGTGCTGTGTGCATATTATACCATCAGTTGAAGACTGTTACTGGTTTTTATGAGAACTCCAGTGTTGTTACTGATATGCTATTCTGGTTTGCCATTTCAGAGGAAGAAGAGGTGGAGGTGGCACAAGACATAACTGTTCGAGTTATGTCCTCTCAGTCTGTGCTTGTTGCTTGGACAGACCCGCTATATGAAAAACAGAAGGTTGCAGCAAATAGGTAGTTAACCCTGTGGTTTTTTTTCTGAATGCATACTGAAGGTGAACTGCTGCCAAGGCACTGCTGATTGCTTTTGCATGTATTTAATCACAATTTGTTATGAGAATAATTTGTCTTAGGGCATAGGAATTTGCATATCCTTCCCTATGACAGCAGCTGGTAGGGGATGCTTCAGACAAGTTGTTAGAAACCCGATGTGGATGGATGTGGGGTGATGTACCCTCCTTGCCTCCCTGCGCCCTGGTCTGTAGTACTTAGAGGTCTGCGAAAGTGCTGGACCACTGGAGTTTAGATCCCTGCTGAAATGTCATCATCACCAAATGGGGATATTTTCCTGTTCAAATGCTGGTATATCACCGCAGTCAGCAAATCCCCACGCGTCCATGGGGAAAGAAGGGGTGGGGGACAGGGCACAGCCCACAGAGGTGAGGTGTTGAGTTGGATTGTCAGAACGAGCTACAGCTTTGAGACAATCATACAGCAGATGCAGGAAGCATCACTGCAGTGGGAAAGGTGCCTGTCAGTGCCCCCTGTGTCCACTGACCCTCCAAAAACCCAGTACAGCTGAGGCTGAGAAGGTCAGGGGCTCCCATGAGCAGGACAGCTTGGTTCACAGCAGCATGCCGCAGCAGATGGAGACCAAAATAAACAGAGAAACAGGCTGGAAACTGCCAAAGGTCTGAAAGCGCTGGATTGTGTTGCTCAGCCTGGGAACACTGAAGGGCTGTGCAACCCGGCGCTAAAACACCCCGAGGGGCACAGCAGGAGAAGTGGTAAATTTAGATATTCTCAGTTTCATTGTGGAAGCAGTTATCTGGGCAGACACGTGGGAACCGAGGCGCCGGCGCTGCTCTGGGAGCGAGGGGCTCCCGGCTGTCCGGCCATGCGGACACGTCCTGGGGCGGTGAGATGGTGGCGTGGAGTCCCCTGGGATGCCTGGCTTGTTTCGGAAAGCCCTGCGGCTTCCCCCCGGGGCAGGAAGTGTTTTGAGTAAGAGGCTGGAAAGAGTGGTCCGTCCCTTGGGGTGAAAGCAATCAAACTCCATTAGGGGAAGGCACAGTATGTTTGCTTAAAAGTTGCTAGCTCTTGTTGATGGTGGTACTCCGTTTTGTATTTTGGTGGGTTCCCTAGTGAGCCCCAGCAGGCTAGCTGAGGGAGAGGCAGCCCTGTGCCTCTCTAGTTCTGCTAGTGCTAGGTTTTGACATGTGAATTTTTATCTTCTTGTGTTTCTGATCCCAGGCAATACAGTGTTCGCTATCGGGAAAAGGGGGAATCGGCAAGGTGGGATTACAAGCAGGTGTCCAACCGGCGGGCACTGGTGGAGAATCTGGTGCCGGACACCATGTATGAGTTCGCTGTCCAAATCTTGGACGGAGAAAAGGAAGGCAAATGGAGCGTGTCTGTTTACCAACGGACCCCGGAGGCGGGTATGTGTTCGAAAGGTCCTTGGGGTAACACAAGTCTTAGGGTTTGAGCTGTGAAATAGGGCTGACTTGAAGGAAAGCCAGGATAATTGGTTGCCTGGGGCAGCAGAGGGTTGGGAACATGGGAAAAGCCTAGGGTGCCCCTGCCTGTGCTCCTGCAGCAGTGCCCTGGAGAGCACACCAGGGCGGCTCTTGTGGCACGACGAGAACGAGGGTAGATGGTTTGGGTATTTCTGGGGGGTGGGTCAGCACCTCGGACCCCCACAACTGGGTGCGCCCCTTGCTTTGGGAGGAGCAGCCTGACTGCTGTCCCTCTCTGTGGGCAGAAAATTTAATTCCTACCTCCACCACAGAGAAGCTGTGGGGCCCCTTTGGTACAGGGAAGTGGTGCATAACAACCAAATTACCACATCGTTCCAGCTAAGCCACAGCAGCAGTCTCATGCAGACAGCCTGTTCCTAAAAGTATGGAATAAAATTTCACCACAGGAGTCTGATACAGAGATGAATACAGGCACGCGTGGACCTGAGCCCTGTGTGCTCTTCACTTTTATTTTTGAAATGGCTGTATAGGAATTTCTGCCATGAGAAGAAGGAGCAAAAGGTGTATGCTGTGTAGGTCAACTGTTTTTACTTGCTGCTTCTGCATGTGGCTGTTTCACAGCTCCTACCAGTGCACCTGAAAATTTGGATGTTTGGCCACTAAAGGGGAAACCAACTTCTGTAGCAGCATCCTGGGATGCTCTCCCAGAGACTGAAGGAAAAGTCAAAGGTAAGCCATCAGTGTCGGTTTTTAACCCCCTCAAAGAGCTGCTCTTCTTGAAGCCAGACTGCCGCTCTGCAGCAAACTGGAACCGCTGACTGTGCCAGGATTTTTTCACTTGTTAATGGCTTATACCCAAGCATGATTTTCTTGTTTCCAGCCCAGCGTCTCCACACCGCTGCTGGGAAGCCATCATCACTGTGTGCCTGGGATGTCACAGAGCTTCCCAGGGTGTCACACGTGCACGCTTACCTCTTCTTCCATTAATAAGCAGGTGGACACAGAGCTCAAGAAGGAAGTTTCCCAAAGGATTTGTAACAGTTAGGTGAAGAAGAAGAAGTTGGGTAGTTGCCAAGAAAGTGAGTGGGTTTATGATCTGTTTTATTTCTAGTTTATCTTAGAAGGAAAGCCTCAGTTTAAGGAGCAAGTGCAAATAGTGATTTCAACAGTGATATAATCAATGGTGATTATCACGCATAAGCCTTGTGCACTGTAGTGTTATTGTCCATGGTCACAAAGCTAATTTGACAGTGGCTATTTATTCGCCTAGGATTTTTTTTTAAAAAAAAGGCTTTCTGAGATTTTTTTTTCCCTTTCTCCCTCTGAAAATGAACATGATGATTTTTTGGCCACTCCCGTTTTCCAGTGGTTGACACGATTGTGTTCTCAAGTTACACAAGTTTCCGAAGGTGTCTTATCAGCACTGTAGCATCTCAGAATTTTAAAAAAACCCTTTGGCCTGCAGGGAAGTGTACCGTGTCTGCATACAAGACCTACTTTATGTGTTCTTCAGGGCAGTGGTGGAATTCCTTCCTCTTTGAAGTCAGTAGGAGTCTTGCCAATTGCTTCAATGGAGCTGCAATTGTGTCCAAGAATTATTATTTCTTAAAGTAGGGTCATGCAGGGACATTATCTGAAATTTCAAATCTGCTCCTAATTTTGAGCAGTCTGTAGCCCTTTGTACATTTTTGTCTGCTGATCTTTAGATGATTCATCCAAGGCAATAATTTTAAAGATACCTGATATTCGAGGGCTGAATGCTTCTATGTGTCTAATATGTCATTGTTTTTCTTACGAAGTATTACAGGAGAGGTCTTACTTTTAAACTATATAAATGACAACAATCTTATTTAAACTGGCTAAATGAAATCACTGAATTAGCACTTTGGAGTTGTTTTTGTAGAATATGGTAATCAGAAATTTTTGTCTTTTGGCCTTTTTGTTTTTCAACCCTGTCCTTTTATATATTTATACCACTTATTAAAGTAATGGGAGAAAAAGCCCTCCAGCAGTCATTTGAGAGTTACCAGAAGTCGCACCAGTGCCTCTGCAATGAAAGCAACTCCTGTGTATCTTAAAGCAATCCAAAGCTTACCATGTCTTCTAATACATTGATTTTTTTGTTTCAACTGAGTATTAAATGCATTTGCATATAAAATATTGATGATATTTTTTCTCTATTTTGATGACCTATGAATGGCTTATTTCTTAACATGATGAATACGGGCTTGTTTTCAGAAAAATAATCATGTTTCATGTTTTTAACAGTGTTACTATGTTCTAGAGTTTTCCCGTTATGGCACTGTGACTCCTCAAGTATTATTGTGTTACTTTGTGTAGAGAGAGAAAATTGGCAGTGCTTGGAATTTATTTTCAAAACTCTGGTTTGATCTGATACCTGTGCTTTTTAGAGAGGATTGAAAAGAAAAGGAAGCCTGGACATGGCTGAAATCTTACCTGCGCTCCTTGGGAGTTTAATGGGAAGACTTTTCTTCATGCCTACAATTATTCCTATAGGGGTGAAATTTCTCTCAGTACAGAAAGCTAATACAGAGTACAGGTACCACAGTAATCCTAGACTGAAACATGAGAGCAGGGTGAGTTTCTTAAGTGGCAACAAGACCTTGCTTTGATCTCTCTGCAGAGGTGCTTGGCCCTGGCTATAGTTAAGTGCAGTGTGTCAGATTTTAAATTTGTTGGACAGTCCTGCTACTGCTACCATTTGGCAATATGCAGTGCTGTTATTTCCTGGTAGAAGTATTTCTTCTGAATAAGAACCTGAGTCATCCAGGCATGAATTTTACCTGCTGGCCTGTAGATTGCAGCTAAAACCTCTCTAAGCAAAGACTCAGCTGAAAACACTTATATTTGACTGCAGTAATATTGTTTCCAAAATTTAAGTAAGTGTTTTGGTGTTTTCATGGGGATGCCCCTCAGGCCCCAACACTACTGAGGAATATGGCCTTTGGAGCTGGTAGAGTCTCACCACAGTGAATTGGCAGAGCTGCTTTTGCGTGACTGGAGTCTTAAAGTACAGTGCAATTATAGCTGTGTCAAGGCTCTGTTGGAAATGTAGGGTAAGAAATTTATTAGTAGTAATGAACAATGTCACCTGATTTTAATACTGATGTCTTGAATGATAATTATATGAATATACCGTTTTGTTGCTCTTCCAAGTAAATTCTGTGGGAAAGGAAATTTTTTAACATTCTTATTTGCTGTGGACATAGCTACAGTCAGCAACACAATTGTGTGTTGTCCACCACGGTGAGCAAGTTATGTTTTAGAATAATATTATTGGGATCATGTGTTGTTGACTGCAAATATCTTGATAGTTAATCAATAATTTCAAAATTTCTCTTGAGAAGTCTAAAGTCTGCTCATGGTTCATCAGCCATAACACAGGTATTCTGATTGTAGCAATCCGCACTACCTAACACTTGCACAGTCTTTCAGACTAGATTTCCACAAGTAGTTGGACAGTGCATATTTTCCTGGCAGCGTCCATACATGTTTTCTGCCTCCAAAGCATTTTCTCTTTGTAGGTTTCCTCTGTTATTTCTGATTCAGGGAAGTTATTTTTTTCAGAGGACTCATTTTTTTCCATTTATTAGTTGGTGTGCAGAAACAAAAAAAGGTCTCCTGGTGCAGCACACCAAACCGTGCAATAGTTGTTGCTGTAACTTTCTCATGTCCCCCACACCTTCTCTGGAAGTGTGTACGGCTGTCATCCGGCTCCTCTTGGTGACACTTCACGCTGATGAGCGCTGTTGCTTATGTATTTTTACAAAGGCATAGCTAACATATTCTGTCTCAGTCATTAGGTCATTGATGTGATTTGGTTTTATCTGTTAAGATGAACAAATGTTCCACTTACCTACATATCTATGTATATATATCTCTCTCTCATGTCTTTATACTCCAGCTGTTGACTCGGCGTGCATTGCTAGTGTATTAATTTTAGTAATGCACGTTCTAATTCATCCTACCCATACAGTCTGTCTGCTGGAAACGGGACTGTTTTCAGTTTCCTCCTTCCAACCGTCTGCCAAATCATTTCAGAATACATTCTTTCATACGCCCCGGCTCTCAAGCCATTTGGAGCAAAGTCCATCACCTATTCTGGAGCTACAACATCAGCCATAATAGATGGTCTGCAGGCCGGGGAGCGCTATATTTTCAAAATTCGTGCAGCAAACAGGAGGGGACCAGGTCCTCAGTCTAAAGCCTTCAGCGTCGCCATCCCAGCAGGTGAGCACCAAGTCACACACTGATTGCGTAGTCCACCCATTCTTGCCTTGGTCCCAGTTATGATAATTGTTACTGATTTAGCTTCCTCTGGACTGCATCTAACTCACAGGATTTTAATTCTTTAATACTGTTTCTGTTAGCTCTTTCATCATTATATTGTCCAAAGAGGTGCTTGTAGATAAATTTTTGTCACTATGCAGCATGCAAAAGGACATTTTATGGACATTTTAATGTCTTACATATATGCATACCATACTCTATGTCCTGCATAAAAACACTATGTGCTCTTGTTATGCAAAGGAAAGAGCATGCAATGCTTTGGGTCTTTGATTGCACTATTCCTGACAACTCCCGCTCTTGAAAGTCACTTAGTGGCTTACTGAGATACTACTCCTTGTGTTTGCTTCTTGCCAAGAAGATGCTATTGTGGAGACAGAAGATTTGCTGATTTAACTAAAAATGTGGGCCACAGCCTCAGATGGGATATTGCAGCATTGTGCCATCAACATGACTAAGCTCTGCTGAAGATTTGGTTCCACTGATAGGGTGTTGCAGTCCCTGCTTTTAGAGATTTGATTTTAATTGCTCTAAGTTTTACCCAAACTACAATAATTCCACATAGGTACCTTTCTACAAACCAAAACATACCTAGCCAGACTCCACAGGCTGGTTAATACAGAAATAATTATTGTCTCATATTCTCATAAGTTGTTTTGTTCTTGCTACCTGGCTGATCTGTTTGCTTAGTCAGTTTTTTTGTGCTGCTTCTATTGTTGTGAATAAACACTTTTTTTTCCCCCCAGCTTCTCATGAGGAGTCAGTTGCTCAGCAACAAACAAATATTCAAGATAATTCAGAGGCTAAAAAACCTGGGAATGCTGGATCATCTCCTTCTCAAACTTCTATTTCTTCAAAAGTCCAGCCATCGCTTTCTTCTAAGCAGTCGTCTGTTCGTTCACCTAATGTTGGTGATAAGAAGAGTCTTCTTTCTGAATATAAGAATAAAATCTTGACTCGAGGGGTCCTAAGTAAATCTCAGTTACCTTCTAGAAAGACAGGAGAGCTGGAACCTGATCCCCAATCCACTGAGGTGACAGACGATCACGATTCCTCCCAAGAAACTCCAACGACACCACCAAAAGCCCAGGATCAGAGGAGGAATGTTAGACCCTTGTCCCCTAGTCGGCCAGTCCATCCTGTCCTTGCCTCAGGGAGGACCTCTGTTCGAACCCATACATCAGAGGTGTCACAGCAGATGAGCACAGAGAAACATGAGCCACCAGCACCGTTACCATCGTCAGCACAACACTCTTCTGCCTCATCTGTTCCCAAATACACAGATAATGAAACAAAGCAGCTGAGGCAAAGCAACACTAATGTGCCTTCTAAGACCACTTCTCATCCTTTGCCTGCCAAAAATAACGATCTTGTGGATAGTGTGGAAGGAAGGCCAGACCCTGTGCTGGTGAAGGTGACTTCTAAAATTTCAGAGCCTAGCCGCCTGGCTTTGCTATCAAATCGGAAGTCTGCTATCTCTCATGAAGTTGTCCCAAGCCATCCTAGTAGGTCTGGCTCTCTAGGTCATTCACATCAACCCTCTTCCAAATCAGCAGATTCCCATGCTCGTGATAGCCATAATGAGTTTGACAGTGAGGAAGCAGAGGACAGAGCAGGACAGACCAGTTCTAGGTCACAGCAAAAAAGGCTTCCCTCAGGCTCCAGTACTCGAACGTGGAAGGATTCAAAATTAGCTGCGGTGGCAGTCTCATCAAAGTCTGCTGTTTCTAGTCACACTTCACCTCACTCTCGCTCCTCCACCAGTGCTAAATCAGACAGAAAGGATGTTGATGAGAACTATAGGAAGGATTCACAAGATGCAAACCCCTTATTTTCTTCTCTACCCTCTTCCAGGCAGTCTTCTTCAGCAATCTATTCCAAGAGAAGAAATCCTCAGGTTGATTCTGGTTCTCACCTCAGAGATACACATAGTGAAAAGTCACCCCGCTCTGATTCAGAAGAACAACAAAGTCAAGCAGCTGCTCCAGAAAAGCATTCTCTTTTGCAGTCTTCTCTTTCCCAACGTAAGTCTGGAGAGCAGGACAGCCAAGAGGTAACAGAAATGCTTGCTCGATCAAAACCAAGTGTATCTTTGCGTAAAAAGACATCCTCCTCTCATCTTCCATTGGAGAAGACCTCTCACTCAGAGCCTCCACAGAGGCCACAAACCAGTCCTTCCTTACTGCATTCAAGGGGCCGGCGCCTCCCATCTCACATCTCATCCCAGAGTAATGAAGAATTGCAGGAAGGTGATGATGAGGATGTAAGAGAAGGCAGTGACAGAGCAAGCAGCCACTCTGTGTTTCCTAAAGAGGTGTCCTCTTCTAGGGGATTACCTGCATCTTTCTCTCAGGGAAGCTCAAGTTCACCTCTATCAAAGCAACAGCAGCCAGGTTCTCAGGTGCCTTCCCACAGACCAAAATTTACTCAGCCATCCTCCAGTTCTGCCAGTGATACAGCAAAAGACAACCAGTATAATCCAAGGTTGTCATCCACTTCTTCAAGACAAGTTCGTCCTTCATTACCTACTCGCTCAAGGGTCACTACAAGAACAGAGTCCCAAACAGAGAAAAAATATGGCCTGTTGCCCTCAAAAATGTCCAAAGCTGAACTTCCTCAAAAAGTTCCTTCTTCCTCTTCATCTAAATCTCGTCAGTCAGTTTCTGATGAAGAGGATGATTATTACAGTGAATATGATCAGAAAGAAGTGGAAGAGAAACCCACATCTTTGGCAGCAAAATGGTCCCCTTCTGTTTCTAGAGGTAACAAAAATACATATGATGACACTACTAGCAATAAAAGGAAATCTATGGACAGTCTGCTACCTCACAAAGTAAGTTCTGAAGAGGATGAGATGGAAAAAACTCCAACATTAAAAATATCTTCTCCCGAATCACCAGGAAGTTCTGCCACAGCATCACAGATTACTCAGTCCTCTAACAAGCATACCCCATCTAAACCAAGCTTTGTCTGGCCACGTTCTTCTGTATCTACCACCACACACACTGTTTCTCCAACAGTTTCTTCTTCCACTTTGTCCCCTCGCCAACGACTATTGAACTCCAGGCTACGGAGCTCTTCCCAACGGCAATTTATTAGACCTCCTTATAGACAAGGTATCTTGTCTTTGTTGTGTTAATCTCACTGAACTGTGTTTTTCCTAAGATCAGCAGTTATTTAAAAAGTCCTCCATCAGAATGCAACTTTAGTTATTTAGTACAATATATTACTTTTTATTCTGGTGGTTCTCAGGGAGCCCAGTTCTTGAGGCAATGCCTAATCAGTGTAATGTGGTACCTCAGACCTTTGGTCCTGTGGTCTGATCTGCACAGGATCCGATGGTCCACAGAGGAGATGACAGAGACAGGTGCTAAACTGGAAAAAAGGTTATGTTCCTTATAGAGAAATGGCTTCACTTAATGCTCACTGAAAGCGCTTGTGTACTCAGAATGTGACAAACTCTCAGATATATTGCTCTTCACGATATGGAGTAGTAAAAGGCTTTTGTAGGTTATATAATGCTATCTTGCCCACTCCTCAGCAGCAAGATGTCTCCTCATGATGTCCTGGCATTCTGTTTTCTTTAATTAATTTTTAATCCACTTTTTTTTTTTCTAAGTGACAGCTCAGGGTCACACGCTCCTGTTCAGGACTGCTCACATCACAATCAGGCCTTCTAATACCTTTATAGATGTGATTTACCCCAAATGTTAGAGGCTTGCTTTCTGGCAGAATATCTGCCGACTCTGGGTGCTGGAACAGAGGGTGCACTACACCTCAACGTGTGTCACCTATTGATTTCCCCTGTCACCTATTAAGAATCCCAGACAGTCTCAGTGACTTTGCTAGGTAGAAATATTGAGAAATATATTGTTTCTTCCTCCAGTGCATGGACATTCAAAATAGCACTGAGTGATCTGAGTGCTTTAGTAAATACCTTCTATGCTATGTGTAGATAACAATGTTTTGTTCAATGTGGCCTCGCTGTTAGACGGTGAGGACCACATGCAGCTGGGCTATTGTATTTGCTATGCTTTAGTCAGACTCAGTGTTTTGTAGAGGTCCACCAGCTTGCAGAGCTTTAAGATGGGAGTGGAGCATAAATAATACCATGGAGGATGAGGTGCATGACATGAAAGAATAACAGATTTCTCTATGCAGGTTGTATACCAGCTTGCTGCTAGCCATGCAATTGGGAAGTTAATAGCCAAGGAGTGTTCAGTTAATGTTTGTATATATATATTTTTCAGTTAATATATGTATATATTTTCATATATATTTTTTCTGGAGGCAAGTTTCTGAGATAGGATGAGAAAATTGCTGCCCTTTCTGAGCTGGGGGGTTTGCAGCTCAGTGCTACTGCTTCTCTACTTTTGAGCTAAGCATACCTCTGTATAGCAGTGTTTTTAAGCTAGAGGAGAGTCCTTTCTTCTACAGGTTAAATCAAAAAAAAAAAAAGGAGGTCATTCTCATCCCCTCTCCTTTCAGTTCATCACTACAGCTTTGTATAAGGGTAGGATTGAACAAGTTGTTGTGTTTAATAATGGTTTCTTCCCTCTCCTCACTCCTCAAATGTTTACAAAGATCACAAATGTTTTAATGGCTGTAGTGCCATCTAGAAATGTTGCCCTGTTTTCTTAAAAAAACAAGAAGGAATAAAGAGGCCAAATAAACATGGCAGAAACAAAACATGAGTGTTTAACCTCTTCAGAAGAAACCATTTCAGATGCTTGTGTCAGCTGTGGGGATCTGACAGTGTCACAACAGTTGTTCCAAGCAGTAATTAAATGCCTGGTTTGCCAAGTGTGGTGAGGGCTCTTTCTGTACTCATTTATGTCCAGATCAGTCAGAAAATGCATTTCTTTGCATTGTAAAATGTGGTTTGGAGGTTGCACAGCTTTCTTCAGAATGCTGTTTTCTTCTCTATTTCAGGTTATAATGGGAGACCTAATCTTACAACAAAAAATGGAAATGGAAAAATAATACCTGGTAATAATGGAAAACCAAGTGGTCAGAGAGTAATCAATGGCCCTCAAGGAACAAAGTGGGTAGGGTGACCTTCTCTCCAAATTCAAGATGGTTTGGCCATTTATTGTACTTAAATTTTCATTAAGAAAAGAAAGAACAGTGCCCTCAGTCAATGAAGCTGTAAAGTGAGGTTATACTTAGTGATGTAGTTTCCAGTGTTCCACTGAAATCTAATGACAAATTCTGCATTTCAATATTTGAACATTTTAAATGTCTGATTTAAAGCCTGATGGCTTGAATTTTCAACTATAGCATTACTCCCATAAATTTAGTGAAACATTTTTTTCCTCAGTGGGACTTATGCTCCCCAGTGACTCAGGGTTTGTCTGCTGTGCAGTGTGAATGGGGACTGCCCAGGATAGCTGCTGTGAAAGACATGCTCAGCAACGCTTCTCCCAGACTCACACTCCAGGGAGAAGCTCATGAAGAAGAATATTGAAAAGCAAAGTTACTCCATAAGTATCACAATGCTTTAAATGTACATACATAGGTATCTTTAAGCATTTTGCTATTTTTACAGACACGTTTCCAGTGGTATTTTCAGAAGATGCCATTGATAGGAAAATCCCCACTAGGTGCCCACAGGCCTAGACCTTGTATTTTAAAATCCTTTTCAGTGAGTTCTTAACCAACCAACACAGGGAAGGAACTGGTGTTTCCCACATGTTTGTCCAGATGCTGAGCAGGAGCAGACTGTGACCAGCCTCCCTGGCATCTGTAGAGCTGCTCACACCCAGCATTACACATAAAGACGTGTATTTTATGGCCATTTCAATCTTAACATTTGCACTAGAGGAACACAAAAAGGTTCATCAGGTTTGTCACGTTCAAGGGAAGCATTTTGAAAAGCAAGCCCAGTACCCTTTAAATAGACTCCAGGAAGTGGCTAGAAAGGTCACGGGGAGGCTGTGGGGCATCTCTCTCTACCCCACGAGAAGAGGGCATTGCTGCAAGCAGGACAACACCTTGTAAAGCAAGAAGATCTATGTCAACATCTGGAGCCTGGAGGGCTTCAGAGGCTGATCTCATGATCTACTGTCCCTCCTGCTACAAGTCTTTTCCCCAGTACCAAATGTAAGTTTGTCTTGCCAACCTGGAACTGCTGCTCACATCCTCTTCTTAGTTTTCTTCCAGCACCTTTTGTATTTTTGTGTTCTGTGGCTCAGTGTCTGTTACCTCAGGTTAAAACAGCATACAATTTAGCTATTTTGGGTTGAAATAGCAACAAATACTGGATTTTAACTGCAGTTACAACTTGAATTCCATCCAGGCTCTCAGACAGATTGTTTGATGAGACAGAGGCTTTTCTTCAGTCTCCTACCCCAATTAAAGTCTTAGCTACTTTGTTTTCAGTGCTGTTTCAATCTAAATTAACTAGTTTATTTTTTCCTTTTTCTTTGATTAGTAGACATGCTTTTAAATCCCATCTTCAAACGGACTCAGGGTCATACTCAAATCAGTATTACAGGAATACACCTTAAGAGTTGCACAGCCCAAGAAAATGAAGAGAATTGCTCCTTTGCATGTGAACGTTCCAGTAGACAATATGAATATGGTAGTTGTGCAACTCTGGAGCCCAGCTCCTGGGGATTTGCTTTCTTCAGCAGTGATTTTTTGGTGATTACTATAAAATTAGTGACTCACTTTTAAAAGTCTGTGGGTTTTGTAGCTATTCTTGAACATCACACTTAGCATCTGAATTTCCCCAGGATTTCTGTTGCTGTGAAATTTCATTTCACCTACTGTTGTGTTAACTAAACTTGAGTCCCTCTATTGCTTTTAGATTGTAGATCTTGACCGAGGACTGGTGTTAAATGTTGAAGGAAAATACCTCCAAGATTCCCAAGGGAACCCTCTCCGAGTGAAATTAGGAGGGGATGGACGTACAATTGTTGGTAAGTGACAGCTTCCTTCTTAAAGAAAAAAATGTACAGATGTACAGTTTTTGTGCACATGGTACAAGTTCTTGAGCTGTTGAATGCTTCAGTCATCCCCAGATCCTATGAAAGCCATTTGGAGTTGCTTGTACCTCAGGTCTTCATCAGGCAATCGGCACACTGCAGGACCTGGGGAGGCTTTGGGGCATCCTGTGGGGCTCTGGAGTATGAGGCAGCAAGAATCACCCAAATCCATCTCACTTGTTTCACCATTAGAAAGGACTGCAGAACTGAGCCAGAGTAAGGATTGATGACATAGAAGTAATTCTTCCCCACCACTAGCACCGTACCAGCCATAAGTATGTGATTATTCTTTCTCCTGAAACTGACCACAAATAGTAAAAAACCCTGTTTGTGATCTGTAGAAATGCTGCTGTTTGCATATCAGTCCACTTGCATGGATCTCCTGAATGCAAATTCAGTGCCTGCTGTTAAACTGGTTACCATGAATATATGCAGGAACCAGAATCTGGCAGAAAAGTTTATCTGCAGTGACAGCATCTCACCAGCTCATCCCAGTTCTTCCTTGCACATTTGACATTAGGCAGCAGAATATGGATTCATACCTTTCATCAACAGTTATGAGACTGACATAGATTAAATTCAGGCACTGTCTGCACGTTTTGAGTCTGAAGTGAGACCTCCCTGCAGTCTTCACAAGAAGTGTTTATCAAACAGCTGATAAAAGCGAATACCACTGTGGTTTATCTGAGGTTCTTCTGAACCATTTTCCAGTTTCCTTAGCCATTGCTCTTTCCTAGAGAACAACCTTCTTCTCTGTCAGCTGAGTTACAGGAGGCTGTAATCACATTCTCAGTGCTCTTGTGGTATCTACTGATGATAAATACCATGCTGTAAGCCTGAAATGGATTAATAGTGATATTTTTTTGGTTTTGTTCTTCTCTCCTAGATGAAAAGGGTGCCCCAATGGTGAGTCCTGATGGATTACCTTTGTTTGGACATGGCAGATTTAGTAAACCTGTAGCGAGTGCACAAGATAAACCAATAATAAGCCTTGGAGGGAAACCTCTGATTGGTCTTGAAATGATTAAGAAAACAACCACTCCCTCAACTACTACAACAACAATACCCCCAACAACTACCACAACTACTACTACAACCACTACAACAACTGTTGCTACAACTACCACCACCACTCCTGAACCAACCACCACTGAACCACCCACTGAGAAACCACCCCCAACCTGTCCTCCAGGCACCTATGGACAGTATGATGATGAGGGAAACTTGCTGTTGGGGTTCGATGGCCTGCCAGAGTGCAATGCAGAAGGTAACCTCCTTTTGTGCTGTTTGAACTTCTTTGTGCTATTTGTACAGTGCAGTTACACAAATGTAAAGCAGGAAAGAATCTGCCTCTGAAGATTTTAGTCCGTGTGATAAGGTAAGAGCTGAGATGAGAGCAGCTGAAGAAGAGTTTGGGCATTAAAAGGTTTTTCATTGGAAAATGTCAACTTTCCCCAAAGCTCAAGTTTTTCATGGAAATGTGTTGATTTCAGCAATATTCTAACCTTGTGTTGGATCCAGTCTTGTCACATATATTCATGCACGTGAGCACTAGTATAAGCAGTAGTTTTGTGGTGAAAGCACTCGCGTATAAGGAATTCCTCACTCAAGTTCAGGCCAGGGGAGGACCTGAAGGCACTATACATTTTATCTATTTTCTGTTAATTTCTCACAGTAAATTCTGAAAAGTCTCTCTTTTGAGCCATGGTGGAACCAGCTTTTGCAAAATGAAATTCTTATTCTCTTGCCAGCCCTTGGAGATAGAGATTGTCTAGCAGGAATGTAGCACAGCACGGATGAAGCTGGGGAAAGACAACCCTGGCTCTTCAGAGATAAGGCAGAGAGTTGTACACTAATTTCTTTTTCATCTGAAAATATGAAACAGTGTCAGTGCATGCCATTAGTTCCCTGTTGCGGTTATAGAAGCTTAGGATGTGGTGCCATGCTGAAATCCAAAATAAACCAATATAAATACACTAGACTTTTCGGGCACTGAATCTATGCCTACCACATTTGACCCTTTTATCACCTGAACGTTGCACAGTTTGCTTATTTTTCAAAAGCAGAGCAGGGAGCACCATGGCAGTCCTTATCATTTCCATTAGTAGGTAATCCCCAACTCAGTCTACAAATGGGCAGTAGCAGCGTGGTCATAACCTAAACAACAGCTTGGCAGTCAGACATCTGCCAGCTGCTGTAGCCAGTTTTAATGGGTAATGAAACCCCCTTATCTTTCCCTATCCACCTGTATCTCTGAAGCCAAAGTAGATTTACAAGTAGGTCATGTAACCATGGCATAGGAAGTTGAACTATAGCTTTGAAGAGTGCAGAGATATGGAGAGATGTGGCTTCAGCAACTCACAGTGAGTCTAAGGATGACATCATTGGAAAGGATCTCAGAAGCAGAAGACTGAAAATTTTCTTTACCAGCTATCCTGGGTAAGTAATGAGTCAGAGATATTAGTGCCTTGTAGAGGTGGAATTACAATGATTTATATGTTAATATTTAGCTAATATCTAGCCCCATGTTTGACAGTGTGTATTTATAGAAGTGTGCTTGCACAAACAAACGTATGTATATAAAAATTACCATCATCATTAAGTATTCCTTTGAAGATTTTGCGGCTTCCCTTTGGTGCTTTCATTTAATTGTATTTGCAAAAGTGTTACAAATACTGTTATATATGGTCACCCTGGTATTTTCAAAGTTGCCTAAAGGGAACCGTGATTTTCAGTAGAATCCCTCCTACTCTGACCAGCTCCTTTTGCTTACCTTAAATGTTGCTTATATCCTCTAATGTTTTCTCTCTTTGGCCTGTGCTATTTGATACCTGAGGGACCACTTTTGAGAATACATATTATAAGAACAGGAAGAGTTTATAAAGTAGGGTTAATCTCAGCATAGGCTCCAGAAGCTGAACAACAAAAAGCTTTGCAGTATTATTTTTAGCAGAGTTGTGGGCTGGGGAATTTTCATGTGATTTTATGAACATCTAAAAATATTTTGCTTGGGTTTTTTGCCTTCTACCAGATGGGCTTGCTGAATCCTTTGTTAGAAGCATGAATGAAAACTAGTTTTTTACACAGGCTGTGTGTTCAGTGGCCCTTAAGTCACTCCTAAACTGGCATTTCAACAGTATGTCTGCAAATACATCACAATGGAAGACTGAAAGGACAAGATGGTGCTGGATTTCTACTTCTTACCTGCTATGTAGCTTGATCAACATTAGTTCCTACCTGGCAATTATGAAAATTTATCTGAAGACTAATTATTAGGATTTTCTTAATTTTCTCTCTTTTTTTTTTTTTTCTTCATCCTGGTGACTTGCTTCAACATCTGCCAAATGCAGCAAAACCACCTGCCTGCTCCACAAAGGAACTTGCTTGAGAAGAAAGCATCTTTGTGGTATTTATTTAATGATGGCTGGTTTTGTTTAACAAGTGCAGTGTCTGTTTCAAGACGGATAAACAACAACTACTTGAACTATCAAAACATTTAATGCAGTTTTCCCTTGACCATTTCCAAATCATACTTTTATGTCGTCTTTGCCTTTAATCTGAGTCTGGAAAATACTCTAGAGCATTTAATGAAATACTTTTTCTGCCAGAGCTTGGTATTTGTTGCTAAGTGCTTTACTCACAAACAGCCAGGGCCTGCAAACACCAAAGCCTACCTCCAAACATTCTACTTAAGATCTGGCAAATTTCCTTATGCTCTGTCAGGATTTTTGCTTGACCCAGCAGAATTTATTGTCAACATTTCACTGTGTTCAGCAGTCTTTAACTTTCAAGAAAGTGTTTGGCCACACAAGTGTGATTTGTCAGTGAAATCAGCTAAACTTTTTTCATGAACTCACAAGGAAAAAAGCATGGTGGAGTCTTCCCCACGTGTTATGCATGATAAACTCAAGTGATGGTTGCACAGTATGCTGTCCTTACAGATGCCAAAAGGCAATGGCAAGTGGTCGTAGAAAAACTTAGCCTCATTAGGTACAGGAAGGGTTTAGTGAAGAGCTTCAGTGAAGGGTGATAGAGCAAGCTGGAGAACTGCAGCTGGTGTACATACAGAAAATTATAAGGGGAGAGGTCTTTTGGGAAGTACCCCTGTTGTTGCCCTGCCACAGCTAATGCTAAAGAAGCACAGACAGTGAAGTAGAAGAAACTGAACAAGTACAAAAATAGAAAATTTGTTTTTGCTGGATTGTACATAGGCCAAAGGCTGACTAGATAATAGATGTGAATGAGTTGAAATCTGCCCATGAAGGACTTCAAATTTCTGAATATCTGAGCCTCTTGTTTACTTGGATGTAGTTGAAGGTAAGTGCATACATTATAGATGTTGGTAGATGCTGGCCAACTGTGGTGAGATCATCTGCAGAATTCAGCAAAAGATCTACTTTGTCATTCACTACTCTCACAGAAGTCAAGTGGATTCCAAGTGGATCATCTCTTGAGGAGCAGCTGCAGAAGTCTACCATGAGAAAATATCAGATTTTGCAATATGGAAGCCTGACAAGAATTAACCCATTTCCTGTGTATTCAAAGCTTATTTTGGCATTCAAGTCACTACTGTGTATTTAAAAGAAACTTACTGTAGTAGAAAAAAATCAGTCTTGTACAGCAATTGTTGGTTTTAAATAAAAAAAACCCTGCAAAATGAAAATGTATTATTCAGTTGATATTTGTGAACTATTTGACACTGGCAGTTGAAATTTTGCATTATCCGTACTACTGGCTTAGTCAAAATAACACTGTTGCTTTCATACCAAGTGTTACAGGAACATGACCAGTTTCTGTGTAGTATCCTGAGGTCAAAGTTGTTTTCCTCTTGTCTTTGCTCACACACTGGCCTCTCCTCAGCCCCAGCATTTCATTCAAGTCTTCTGATTGTACCTGCCATGGGTTCCCACACGATGCTTTTGCTTTGTTTCCATTGCTTTTCATGGCTAATCTGAGCTCTGTGTACTCTTTGGCTTCCCTGAATAACATGTGGAGAGATGCATAACTCGGAGTGTGCAGGGAAGCCTCCAAGATTCACAAGATGAGGTACTTGATGGCTGGTGTATCTGGTGCTGGATACATGATTGGCAGAGATATTGAGAAAATATGTAGAGATAGGCATCTGGGAAGTCTGTGGGTGCACTTGCATTAGTTTTTGGGGTGGATTGGGAGAGTGGTTTTTATGTGCACCTCACAGTCATCTCTTCTTGCTATGCTTTTGTTTGCATCATGGAGCAATCTTGGTGTGCCCAAACTGAATTCCTGTTGGATGAAACTAAAGCAGAAGCAGTCCTTCAAGATGACACGTAGGTGCCCCAGCCTGTAATGGGCATTCAGTTCACAGGATCAGACTAGAGCTAGTGCAAAGTAAAACCCTGGAAAATCCAGCACCAGTTACTTCACTGTACAAATCCATTACTTTTGGGCTGCATTACTTGCCAGCATAGACCCAGTCTGTAAATGTCATGGTTCTGTGGGTTGTTTTATTTTTATTCCCTCACAAAAATATTGAAGTTTTCAGTTTATTTTAATTGCTTGGTTGTTTTTTTGCATATAAATTTCTTACATTTGCTGCTCCTGAGACTGTAAAGCATTGTTAAATCATGACCTGAGTGTTATGCGGTTGCTGGCAGCCTGCCTTTGCTCCCTGGCTGCTGGGGCCTGGGGCAGAGCTCCTGGAAGCTGCATTACTCTCAATTTTGTGTAGCAGCCCTGAACCCATTTTCTCCCGGCAAAACTCCTGGCTACTGCAGTTAGCTACTCATCTGTTACTCTAAATATGCCGAGCAGGCTGTCACTGCGTTATTTGGAAACTAAGCAGTTATCTTATTTCTTTGCGAATCAACTGGCTAAAGATTTTAGTTTTAAACTTTGTTCCAGAAGTATTTGACTAGGAGGGTAGGGATGAGACCACTGAATTCTTACAGCATTTTTTTCTTTCTCCTTCAACAGATACATTCTCAGGACTGGATTCAGATGTGACAGCAACTCCAGAGGCATATGTGATATATGATGATGGTACTGTTTAACTGTAAAAGTCTATTGCAAGTGGCATGTTTGGGGTTGGTTTTTTTCCTGTATTCTTTCTTTGGAATTGGGTTTGAGGGGTTAGGTTGGTAAATGGGAACTTAAGCAGGCAGTGGTGAGGTAGAGAAGTTTTCCAGAGTCCTGTGTCACATGTGAAGAGCAAGGGTACAAAGGCAACAGTTTCTGGACATGAAAGTCCCTTTGTATCAGTCCTGCAATCTAACAGGAATCTATTGTTAAAATAAATTATGTTCGGAGCTGGGTCATATAGTCACCACTTCAATCCTAGATTTACTTTCTCTGGTGTAACTTCTAACTCCAGCCCAGTCAAAGTCAATGAACTCTTCTAAAATAGAAAATCCAAATAATATCTGAGTCCTGGAAACTTTAAATACCTTAATGAGTTTTCAGCACTCTATAGCACTGTGAATATATTTTTTATTGTCTTTTTTATTTTGATGTGTAGTGTGCATTTAGACTATAAAACATGCTCATACCAAATGAGATCACCTACATGTAAAATAATTAATCTTTTGAATTCACGTGGAATTTATATCAAAGAGATTTGAAATCAGATAAAAGGAGAACATGGAAAGATTTTTGCAGAGTTATATTCATGACATTTTGATATTATAATCCAGGATAAACAGAATTTAGCTGAAGAGGAAGCCTCAAGTCCCAGCATTTAATTATAAGCTTTCGTAGGAAAGGCAAATTCTCTATTACTGGAACTAGCATTCACTTTCTGCCATCAGTGACTTCTGATTTTCTGCTCCTTTTGATCCTCAGATTCCTGCTCCTATCCCCACATATCAAAGCAGATGTGTACAGAACCCTGTTAAACTCAAAGCTTTTTAGTAGAATTTATGGCTTTAGAATAAAAAAAGTTTTTTCTTTGTGGATGCAGTGCTGGGATCTCAAGTCAAACCAACAACAACTGAAAAGCATTTAAAAAGAGAGTGCAGCAGCTGAGAGGAAGATATCAGACTTTGTCGCTTTTTATTCTGATCACTTCATACTGAGGTCACTATTTAGAATGTGAGGAGGAGAGGATGAACTAAAACTTGCACAAGTCCTACATCCCATGTTCCTTACATCCCCATGAAAGAGGAATATCCTCAGCGCACAGGTGTTTTGCCAGGCCTGCCCTTAGGTGCAGGTCACCTGCAGAAAACAAATGCTTTAGCAATTCAAGCAGAAAAAAACCCCACAAGCTGAGTCCCACAGCCTGTATGAGGACACGGCAGAGATGCCAAATGCCTCTTTCCCTTCATTTTGTGGGTCAATGTGATAGCACAGTAGCTTTTCAAAGAGCACTGGGTTTAATAGGACTGAATATCAAGGAAGACTGAATACCAGGAGATCCATGGGGGCAGTTTGCCTTCCTTCATGGCCCTAGTGGGATCATGAATGGTAAGTACAAGATGCCATACCTCTTAAATTACAGGAAGGTTTAAGAGAAGTATGAATCAGCTCTAGAATTTTAGAATAATAACACAGACTTTTCTTAAAAAAACATTTTTTCACTCCTTTATCTCCTTCCTTTGGCATCTGAGGGCTGTGGACAGGGATTCAATTACTGTGCTGTCTTCTCTTGGGGGTTGTGAGGGGAGGTGGCAGACGAAGTGTGTTCAGGATATTTCTGTATGAAGACATTTGTTCATTGTCATCCTTTTTACCTGTGTGACTGAGGTCTAAATTAGCAACAACGCTAGTATTCTAAGGCAAAGGCTTTGTACTCGCTGCCCATCAGTTTGGTAGAAGCCCTTGCAAGGCTGAGGTGTGACCAACCCTGACTTAGAGGCCCATTAGAAGTGTGTGGCAGCTAGGGCAGGGTGTGTGGCACTCCTTGGGGCAGTGGCTGGTGACAGAAATATTTCCCTCTCACAGTTAAGCCAAAATAACATGAAGCAAGCTAATATTTTCATCTTATGTTTCCTCTGAAGACTATGAGTTTTTTGAGAGCACTTTGCCACCAACCACCACCACCATCACTACCACCACTGCTTCTACAACGACAGAATCAGAAGTTGTCTATCCGGAGACTAGTGTTGTTGGCACCGGTCCTGTGTCAGAATATGATATTGCTGGGAAGAAGCGGTTCACTGGTAAGGATGTCCTTTGGTTTATGTAGCTTACTACTTGTGCTGCAAAGGATTCTTGTTCTTGCAAGGTCAGCCCTTAAGCTGAGACCATTGTGCACATACCTCCAACAGACTAGCGTGTGGTCCTTGTAAGGGCTGCCACCTGGGAAATCCAAACAGCTGTACTTTGTTCATTGCTTCGATGCTTGCATGTCCATGTGTAGATGCACCCCTCTTTTGTTGACGCAGTGCAAACGTCTTCCTACTCTTAGAGTGTAAGTGCCCTGCTCTACATTCTGCATTGTGTTTGATTTAGCTGAGGTCAGTAAAAGAGAAGAGTGTCTACTCTGCTGCTCAGTTCAGCTCAACTTCATCATTTTAAATTCATGCTAGTAGCTCAATCAGTGCAAGTCTCCATGTAGGTATGAGTCTTCCTTTGGGGGACCAAATTATTTTCCACTGACCCATGCAACCCCAGTGATTTCACCCACCATGCACAAGCATATCTGTCAAAGGTGTGCTTCCAAGTCAAGGAATGAATGGTATTTTAAAGATGAACTTTCCAAAAAGTAAAACCAATAGAGATGAATTTGACTTTGCTGTTTGTAGCTTTGCTCTGTAGAAGGAACTTGGTGAAGGAACCCCCAATACTTTGACAGGAGCCATGAGGCTGGCTCCTGTATGTGAGCCATTCAAGTGTGTGGGTATGTGTTCTGTGCTTCTTTGTCAGAGAAGCAGCTGGGGGCCAGACCAGAGGGCACTGCATTCCAGCCTCTACCCCAGACTAGTGACACCCCCACAGCCCTTTACAAACCTCTGGCATTTGAACTGAGGTCAGGTCACCTGCTGGCTCCCCTGGCATTTCAGATGGGAGTTCAGGGGATGGAGAGTCAGCTTTGACTCACGTCTTGCCTTGCCTTCCAATATCCACAAACTTCATATGGCTTAGAGTAGAGCTATGCTGCTGGACTAAAAGATTTGGTTTTATATATGCCAATACTTTTTCCAGTGCATCTTCAGTTTCCCTGTCCAAACAATTTCATGATGTTTCTATTCATCTCTCTCACTGACAGTGCTTCTTGATTCATTTAGCTGGAGAGGCTAAAATTAACTTCATTGCAGGATCTGGAAAAAATCCCTTTAGGGCATGAAATCCAATAAGATAAACCAAGAAATGCTGGTTTATGAACATTTCAAGGCTCTAGGGAAATAATATTACCATTTCAATGAATTGTATTATTGCAACTGAATAAACATTTCCAAAGCAAGTTTTATAGTCCTTACTTTTAATGTTACAGTGACTTTTAAGGCAATAAAAAGACGGTTTAATCTTTTCCTGATCTGAAGTGCAATTCCAGTCAATATAAAGCTTTTAAAAATAGAAGTTACAGGTTGGGAGCACATGCCTGGAAGGTAGGCACTCATGACTCCTGGTTCCTTACTACCCAGGGGACCACAGCAATAATCCCTTACTTTAACCTGGCCGGACTCCACCTTGGAATTACACTTCTTCTTCCCTCTGTTGTTTCACTCCAGCTTCTGCATGCTTGTGTAAGAACCAGCCACTTAGACCCATAAAGTCTTAGATGATCTAAGGCCCTGGCAGGGTTCTGGTCCCATGTGTGGAAAAGGAGACAGTTTGGGTGACATTTTCAACCCCACCTGCCAGAGCAGCTGGAGGTAGTGTGTGGAGGGTCCTGCAGTCAGACCGCCTCATGTGGCAAAGACAATCCTTCTGTCGTTGCATAATTGGCTACAGCTGTGGGTGTGGGGGGAGACCTGAATACTGGCATCCCATTCCCCCTGCTCATCAACCAAACTGAGTGCGAGCCATGCTTTGTTGACAGCAGTGAGCAGTCTCTGGGCTGGAAGGGGAGGAATTTTAAAATGCATCACAAAACTTGACTCTCTTCTTTTTGGGAAATTGCCAGCCTGTGTGCTGCTCTATGGTACCTACAAACTGCTAAATAAATGCCACCCTTCCCCGTCTCTTCCAGCTCCTTATGTGACCTATCTCAATAAAGATCCAGCAGCCCCCTGCTCCTTGACAGAGGCCCTGGAGCACTTCCAAGTGGAGAGCCTTGATGAAATCATCCCTAATGACCTCAGAGAGAAAGATCTGCGTCCCTTGAAAGCCCCTCACAACATCACTGTTGTGGCAGTTGAAGGCTGTCACTCCTTTGTCATTGTGGACTGGGCCAAGCCTGCTCGAGGAGACATGGTAACAGGTACTCTCCTGAGGGTTGCCCTCTTGATGGGGTAGTGGTGAAGATTTTCTTAAATGACTATTTTTACCTTAAACTGAGCCAACAGTTCATGAAGTTGTCACTTCTCTGCAGTTTTCTAAGGGAGGTGAGCTACTTTCTGAGGAGTGAGAAAGGTCACTCTGTCATTCCTCAGTGGCAGACTGACTAGCCCATGTTGGTCCATATATCTCAAGATTTTGGCACTGATTTTGTGCCAGTGGTTCTGAAGGCACTGCCTCTCGCCTGGATGCTAGCTGTGGTAGCGCTTTGCTCAACTGAGCATTTCTGCCCCCAGTTAGTGTCCTCAGCAAAACTGCAGGTAGCTCCCAAGCCTGCCTTTGGAGCATCTTTCACTCTGGGCTTCCGTCCGCTCCGACCAAAGGTGACAGCATGGCTGGAGCCGGTCTGCATCCTGCCTGGCTGTGAGCGTGGCTACACGAGTGGTCTGCCTGTAGAGGGTCTTCTGGCTTGGCAGTGTTCTAATCTGTTTTTTTTTGTAGGAGAGGAATGTATCAGAGTCAATTATCTTCAGTGGAGTCTGTCACCCAGGCTATGCTTACCTTGTTTTACTGAAATTTTGCTCAAATATCCATCTGATAAGCGAGGTTCAGGGTTGGGGAATATGTTAAACAAATGTATTAAATTAGATCTTCTTTAATGTCTTTAGACCTTTTGATAACTAGAGAGAAGCCCAACTGACTTCAAGAATGAATCTCAAAAGTTGCTGGAAAAACACTAGAGTAAATAACCAAAATATTTTAGAGATTAATCAACCCCTGTTTATCAGTGGACCCAAAAGATCTGAAGTAAGCATTGGAAAACACCATTGCTTTGGTGCTAGCATCCAGTTTTCAAGTAGTCTCACCCAGCTCTGTGCCTGACAGCCATGGCAGAGGGGTGGGAGGTGGTAGAGCCAAAGTAGCGATAATGGTGTGGAAGGAGAAGGTGACACTGGAACAGGCTATGTGGTGTCTGTCCCACAGCATTTCATTCTTCAGGGCTGTTGATCCAGTACCTTACCAAATGCAGTTTTCATAACTTTTTTTTTTTTTTGCTTTTTCCCAAAGAACCCCCTGTGATTTCTAACTATAGTAGTTTCTGCATAGTCACTATATCACTTAAAACAGTGAATGGGTTGCCTCTGTCATCTTTTTGCCTTCACTGTGTTTTAAATCAGAATTCACACCTGGGTACCATCCTCTGATGTAATGCTCCATCTTTATTAGCTAATGACAGGAAATTCTTGTAGCCTGAGATTTTCCAGGAGAGTTAGGCATCAAATCACTTTCATAGTCAAAGATGCTTCTACTCCTTTTGACCCATAAAATCCACCATGACACCTAGGGATATAATTTATTTAACATTTCTTTAGAATCCTCACAACTATTTGTCTTTCTCATTTACAGGCTATCTGGTTTACAGTGCATCCTATGATGACTTTTTAAAGAATAAGTGGTCAACCAGAACTGCAGGGACTACTCATTTGCCAATTGAGAACCTGAAGCCTAACACACGGTAGGGATTTGATCCACTCTTTTTCAGTTCTGTTAGGGAAGTAAAACAAATTTTGAGAATTGTCAATTGTTTTTCATGGCCTTAGTATAAATGTTTACATCTGATCTAGATTTTACTCATTCTGTTTGACAGCAAATTCTTTTATAAGCCACAGAGCTACTTACATGTTATCTTTACCATATTAACCCTGGAGCACATGACTGTGTATACATGCATATATGTTTGTGTATATAAAACCACGTATCAGTAACAGAGAGAATCTTACTTTAAAAATGCATTTTATAGTCTTAAGCATAACTGAATCAAATTTGGGGGGGAAGAGTGTAGTAAGGTATAGCCTTGGTGTGATAAGATGTTGCCATTCCCACATACTGGTGTGACCAAGCTTTGATATCTAAGGGCTTGTGGGGAGAGGTGCCGCTCTCTGGTCTGTTTTTGCTGTTTGTTCACATGAGTTGTGCTGGAAGAGGAGGCTTGGTGGTATATAACAAGGCCATGGCAGTTGCTCAGAAGTCAGTTTGGCAGGAGTGTTATGTCTTTATCTTGCAAAAAATCTCACTGAAATGGCAGAACAAGAGTGCATGCTTTGCATGACAACTGGGTAGGAAGTAAGTGGCCACGAAGGGACTACATTAAAATTACCTCTTTTGACAGATGCTTGGTGTCTCTCATACTTTCCCCTCAAATTCTGAGTCTGAAATACTTTTGGTGCTGCCCTGGGGTAGATGATTGTTCTTCATGTGCTGATGACTACAGTCTCTTAGACACTGGTGGCAGGTGTTGCTCCCATATTTGGTAACATGGGAGATGCACTGGGATTGTGGGCTAGACTAGCATGCCTCACTTGATGACAAGCTATAGATCAGAGCATCCACTCCTAGGACAGGCACATAGGATTTATGCCAGGGCAACAACATAGAAGAGAGAAACCGTGTCACCTGAAGTATCGTTTCTTTCCAGGATGGTTTATAGACAAAGGGAAGGTTCTGCAGGTTAAAAGCAGTTGGTTGAGATCCTCAACCTAGGAAACAGAACTGTTTCAGCGTGGCCTTCATCTAAAATCTTAATAGATCAAATAACAAAGTAAGATAAAATAAATAAATTATGATAAGTCAGTGCAGTGTAGCATTTGGGTCTCAAATATGACCAGTCATATTTTTTCTGACAACATTACAGTGCTTCTCCTCACAGCCCTGGCTTTGGCATAGACTCACTCATGCCTTACACCTGCAGCTGCTCCTGCTTGCCCTGAAACTCTAAGAACCAAGAAATCACAGTGTGTGGTAAGAAGGGTGTGCTGCTCCCCAGTCTCCTCCCTGGAGATTTCCCTACAACCACAGAGTTCTGAGGACATGGCATCTCTTTGGGAAGCCAGCACTGGAGTGACTTAAGCAGCGTTTCCTTAGGCAGGTCCACCAGGGACATGTCCACCAGAGGACACCTGCAGCATCAAAGACACGGGAAGTTAGCAAGCAAAAGGTGTATGGAGAGGCAGGATAAGCACACACAGGACACCCAAGGAGTTAAAAAACCAGAAATAAGATGTTACAGGAAAAACTCTGGGCCATCTTACCCTCTCCTGTTCTGTCTACAGTGTTGTCAGCAACATGCTTCATGAGGCTTATTCTTATGTATCCAAGAGATAAAAAAAGGCAACCTATTCTGAAGATTAATACTCTAGTCCTCGGTGCAAGTCCTTTAGAGTGGTTCATGGCATGTTAAAGCAATTTCGCTTGCACAGTAGAAACCACAATTGTATGCTCTGCATCTGTTAGTGCCCTTGTTATAAAACATCGTATGTATGGAGGGTGGTATGGGGCCCAGTTTTACCTGTTATAATAAGATAGAAGAGGTCTGAGATCTCCTAAACTCTGTTCCTAGATAGTGAGGGAAGTGAGTTCAGGCCCTCCTGCCTTTGTCGTCCACGTTCTTGTGACTTGAGGATACCCTTTCCCCAAACCTCTCTCCTCTTGCAGCTAGTCCCAGTTACTGCCTCCACATCCCAGACTCCTGTACATCCCCAGACATTTTCCCCTTCACCAGTTTTTACTCCACTCTCACCCCATTCCCCACACAGGCCACAGAGGAATTGCCTGTATGCCCCAGCTTCCTCCAGCTGGGCTCCTCTCTCTCTTGCTTCTCCGCCATTTCCACCTTCCAGCCGCAGCTCCTCACCTCTTCACCGTCTTTCAGTCAAGTCTCCCTCTCGTGCTGCCCCTAGGACAGTGCTGAAGGCCGGTGGTAGCTTTCTACTACTTGTGCCCAACATCTCAAGGGCTCCAGGTCACCAGAAAGAGCAGTTGCAGTGAAAGGTCCCATGGAGCCCTGAAGCCACTGTCCTGACCTCGCTCGGTGCAGGGGAATTGGTGGGCCTTTAGCTGCCGACCTCTGAAACATCTGCTGAGACGTACATCAGGTTTCAGAGGGTCACAATTTGGCTGTATTTGAATGGAGTTTTATAGGAACAACAAGGTTATAGATTCATGCACTTCCATGAACCTAGTAACTCCCATGTCAAATATTAAGGTTCTGTTTCAAAGTGGGAAGGTTCAATCAAGTGCTGTTTGTTTTAAGCATATTGTTTCCCCAGCATCTTACTGAAGAACAGTATAACCCATTGACCTCTGTTGTACGCTCTTGGAGGCAATAAAGGCTTCATGTGGGGTCTGTGGTGGAGAAGGAGAGTTCTTTACAACAAGAAATTGTGTGTATTGGCCAATCTCATTCACATTCTCCAAATCCACAGACTGAACTGATTGCATATTTTTTTTGTCTTAAAAATAACTCCCTAACCACTGGGAAAAGAACCCATGCTTAACTAAGAAAATACGGTGTGAAATCTGAAGTTAGTCTAAAAATTTTCTGTTTGCATTGTTAATGCATTCTGTGAGAAATCTCTGATTAAGTCGGATTTACTGTATGCAGATGCTGTTGACTGCTGGGTGTCCCATGAGGGGCTGTTGGTGGTGCAATCTTGCATCGTGCACAGCATATCAAAAATAGGTTGGTATCTTGGCAGGAGTCAGCCCCAAAGAAGATTTGAAGTTGTCAATATATCCTGGGAAACATCTCACTGGTGTTTAGGTTTGACAAACAGAACAGAAGTCTACATTTAACCCATGTTACAAGTTTTCTTCTGAGTCCTGGTCTAACCTCCATTTGAGAAGTGGAACTTTTTCCATTAGCAAAACTCCGGTCAGCTTCAATGGGCACAGGAGCTGTTTGCTTGTGACATGTGAATGTAAAGGCTAAAATTACTTTAAATCTTATTAATCTTTAAAACAACAGTCTTGACAACGTCCCTTCCCTAACTTTAATTCTCAGCTGTCACAGAAGACAGATGCAAAGTGCTGGACAGCATCTGCTCAGCCACAAAATCCAGTCTCCTGTAGTCACAAACATTATAATCCTTGTCATAAACATTTCAGTCTCCTTCTTGAGCATGGTTAGGCTTTTTCCTGCCTTTTTGCAGGAAAGCTGTGTCAGTGCCTGATGGGAGTGGCTAGATAGTCTCATGATTTAAAACACTGTCCTTTACCACCATATATCTCATCAAATCTTCTTCCCTGTCCACTTGGTTTTTGATCCCACAGTGCCTGCTACCAATTCCAATGTTGCACAGAGCATTTCATAGGAGGCTCTCAGATATTTACTCTGCACTCACAACTGCAAACAGAGCCTGGAACTTCTGGCTCTAGGGGTTCAGATGCACCAGAAATTTCTATTTCCTTTCTGTATCTCCATTAAAGCAAAGCCACAGTATGTCCGACAAGCAGAATAGCTGGCTGCTGTGTATCACCAGAGCAGCTCAAAAGATGTAAGATGTCAATGAAACCTTTGTCCTGTGCAAGCAGTAGACCTCTGTGGCACATACCTACCTCACACCAGCTGTGTAGGAAGCTCCTCTTCCAGCTCTGCTGTACTGTCTTATTATAATATTTGCCATAAATATTTATGACGGATGTAGTGCTAGGCCATTTTTGATGGAGGGAGACACTTTGCACTAGCCTATGAACCTGCAGGCAGCCGATTTATGTGTTCTTCTTCTGGAGGGACGGTGCAGTTGTAGGAGAAGGGTTTCGGCCCCTGCTGCCCCCTTCATGTGCTCGTGGGAGGAAACCTGCCTGTCCTTCCCAACCCCGCTCCCGGCCTCTTTTCCCCCTCATCCGCTGATCCTGAAGGGTGGTGGGTCTGTGGGGTGCTGTCACATCAGCTCGCCCCCCTTCCTTCCCGGGCAGCGCGTGTCTCTCCCTCCCGGCCGCCGGGTCAGGCGTGTCGGTTCCCCCCGCCGTGGGCAGGAGGGGCGTGCTCCGCGTGCTCCCTCTGCGCACCCACCCCGGCTCTCGCCCAGCGCTGACGGAGGCCCACCACCGGCCACCCCACCATCCCCATGGCCGGCGTGCAGTCGCGGTGCTGTGGCTCCTGGCCCGACACCAGCAACGCCCCGCGGCTGGCTGGCATCCGCCACCTCGGCCTGCCCCTGGACGGGGCGCGGGGCTGGGGGTCCATCCAGGCATGCTTTCGGAGAGGCTGGAGAAAGGATTTTACAGCTTACTAATTTTTTTTTTTTTTTTAAAAAAAAAAAGAAGCTGCTTCCCTAATGAGCATGCTGAGTGATTATCTCACTTTGTGTCTGTGAGTGCCAGCTATTTAATACCAACAGAAGGGAGATACCTTGAATTAAGTCCTAAAATCATTGTGCCCCAAGTGACAGGTATGGCAATATGATTAATCATATAGGCTAAATGAATAAAAAATATTAGATATCCATTGCCCTGTTACAGTTTACTACATCCTTTCTTGACGTGTCGGTAGAAGTGGTATATAAAATCTCAAAGGAGGTTTATTCTTAGGAGGAAAAGCTTTTTTCTTGTTTGTATTGAACAAGAAACAGCACTGCATCTGTTGCAATTGTGATTCTTTTATGCCTATTGGTGAGAATTCATTGAAGTTCTGCCTAAGCAAGGTGTAGTCAAAGCACAATCAACTCACACATTACAAATTTTGTTCATGCATTTATGTGATGAAGAACAGTTGAGTTATACCGATTTGAGATTTCCTGGCAAATTCATCAGCTGAAGGATTCTGACTAATGAAAATGACAGATGCCTGGAGCTAGAAAGGCTTTGGCAATTTCTTTTTTATTTGTCATGTCTGAGAAAGAAATATATCCTGACTACATTATTTTATTGACATTCTTAATACAGCAATCATAGCACTGTCTATGTTTAAATCACAGGTCAGCAAGTCATGAGACCTGGCTCTCTTTCTGGCACAACTAGAGGCTTCTTGTGTATATAAAGGCTTAGGAACTAATTTTCTAATTTAGCAAACTCAAATGTACTCATAACTTCATCGCTGTTTTTTCCAGACAGGCAGGCAACTTGAACAATGATGTGTGCCAGACAGGCTTCTGTTTATGTAACAGGACACCTGAATGCACAGTTGCCCTGATTGCATAAGTAAGCAGTTCCTGTATTACACATTAGATACAAAACTGCATGATTTCCCCCACTTAAATAGGTGCATGAGGTTCTTGGGCTGCTCTCTCCTATTTTGGATGTGGACTGTCGCACTTATGTATCTCCTGGGAATGTTTTGAAGCTGGCATTAATATGTACGTATTAAGTGGACTGAAAGGGTTGCTCAGAAGGTGCCAATGTGTTGCACAGGTGGTATCTAATTATACCTCTTTGGAAGCAGTGGGAGGTCAGGCATCCATACAGCTGTATTCACTATGCTTTGCAGCATTCCAGAAAAGATGTGGGCTGGAGAACATTTTTCTTCTGCTCTTCTGAAGTACACCAAGCACTGGGCTAAGTCAGTACAGCTTGGAGCTGAGTTGTGGTGTTTCAGGAGCCAGCGTGAGGAATCGCTGTCCTGTGTCTCATCCCCATGATCAGCCTTGTGCCACCAGCCCTTGTCTTGATCCGGGTGGAGAAGGTGCGGGTGGGTCAAGGAGGTGTGGATGGATGCAGGTGTCCCATGAGAGCCTTTGGCAACTCAGGGCATTGAAGCAGTGCTCAGGCTACCGTGCTCTGCTCAGGTGGTCAGAAGTAGAAGAGCACACAGGAGGCTTTTTGCCTCCTCTCTCCTCTTTCTTCAGCCATGCTAAATACTTAGAAGCTGCAGTCAAGAAATCAAGGTCAATAGTTAAAACCACAGAAGAATATTTCTGCCAGAAAGAGGATTGTGCTAGGAACGAGCAAAAAGCACAGCCTTGCTAAATTTTGCTATTTAACATGGTGTGGTTTTGCCACAGTGTATGTGTGTCTTTGGAAGGAAAGCTGTGAGTCATTTGTGAGCATCGTGTAGTCATTAATTACAGGCAGAAGTGGCTGCAGAAAGCAGGAGTGGAGTCGGTTTCTGGTGTCAGCCGTGGAACACAGATTCCCCATGCAGGGGCAGGAGCGTGTCCTGCAGAGGGTCTGACCATGCATATGCTCCAGGTCTGGCACAGGTATGAGGTAAAACTCATGCCACAGATGAAGCCCAGAATATTTCAATTCCTCTAGCTTCCACAGAGATCTCACCCAGGGGACTCGCCTGTAATTTTTACAGAGTGAACAAGATGACGCCCTGGCACGTACCCTGGAGATAACTGGCTCGCTTCACAGCAAAACCCAGTGTTCACATACCTGCCACACTTCTGCTGAAGAAGTGGATGTTATTTGCACATCTTTTCAGCCTTTTTGTAGAGATCAGATTGATTTTGAGGCAAAGCAGTTCACTTTGCATAAAAAAAAGTAATTCCTTTTAATGAGAAAAGATACTCACCTTTACCAAAGGGCTGGTTCAGCTGGGTCCCCTCTGGTTTATCATTGTGAATAGTTTCATACGTGCTTAGTGTGTGCTTAGGCCAGAGTGGGTCCTCTTAGGAGCGACATCCAGGCCCTGCTCTGTGGCTGCCTTGAGGAACAGATGCATCTGATGGTACAGGAAAGTGCACATGGTAGAAATTGAGTGGCAGACTAAAACCAGCAAAGTTCCTGCAATAGGATTGTGTTGAATTTTCCTGCTGCCTGGTAGGCTGTAAAGCATGAGCACCTTACGTGGCATTAAACCACGTTACATGCCTGTGTTGCAAGGGCTTCTGTCCTCTCTTGTGGACAGAAGGAAGGAAAGGGGAATGAAGTTTTTAATGTGGATGGTGTCCACGTTTGGTGCATAAACTGTACCAGGTAGCAATAGCTTCCAGGCACGTCAGACCACCTTTGCTATGAACCACACTGTCTCAGCCCAGTGTGGGCTATACAAGCAGAGAAGCACTGGCAGGTTTCTGTGCAGGATGGGGAGGGATTTTCCACCAAGAGCAGTCTGATTTTTTCATGGTGGAAGCTCACTTTCACTGGCTGAGGAGCATCAGGCCTGCCACTCAGGTGGGACATTGCAGTGGGAGGTAATCCAGTGCTCAGTGGTAACCATCCCCACAAGTAAGCACTTGTGCTGTTAAGTGGGTCATGGATGGAGCTTTTGGAGATGCCTGCTTTTGGATTAGAGGCTAAATAAAGATCCAATTGTTATGTGGATATTACAGAGGCACAGTATTTTTTTTTTTAGTCTTTTAATTAATTTATTTACAAGATTGAAATTGAGCAAGCAGGCAAGAGAGGAAAACCTAAACTCAGGCACTTTAAAAATGCTGTGCTGGAAATTTTTACAGTAATCTTCCATTATAATTGGTTTCTGCTGGACTGAATACAAAGATAAAAGGGAAAGAAGACATTAATTGGGGGAAAAAATGTCAGGGTAGGCATCCACTGAAAATCATTGTATTTGGAAATGAACTAAAAATGTGCTTACACATATTATTCTGTAAGGGTGAGGATAATTTTGCTTCTATCAAGCAAAGAACGGAGTTCTAGTGGAGAGTCATGTGCTTTGAGTTAAGCATATGATTTAAATACTTTGGGGCAATCAATAAGGCAATATATGAAGCTTTCTCATATTAGTTAAGTATTGTGATCTTAATGCTGCTAGAATTTTTACAGAAAGGTCAAAAGCTTAGCTTCTGATCCCGTATAAATCTGATCCAGTTTTAGTTTGCAGTTTACACCACTGCTTTTGTAGGAGTTAATCTGGTTTAAAACTGTTCCTGAGATCAGAATTTAATTTCTTTCCAACTTTTTCTTTTAGTCTATTGTTACTGGTTGTTTTAGATAAAGTGGATGTAGCTGTGTGTGGTTTTTGGAAGTGAGATGATGTAAATAAATGATCCAAAAGTATGCACAGGGCCAACTGCAAAAAGGAGAAATTAATCGGTAACAGCCAGCTCTTACCCTGGCTCAGTATCCAACTCTGTTTAATGCAAAGGACACCTGAACTCAGTGGAATTCTGCTTTGATTTTCACTCCGTGTTAGTACTATTTATAATTTAGCCATTACAGTGGAATCAATGTTTTAATCTTAGTTTCCCTTTCTTTTTGTTTCAGGTATTATTTTAAAGTCCAAGCAAAGAATCCCTTTGGTTATGGACCTGTTAGCTCTTCAGTCTCATTTATCACAGAATCTGGTATGCTTTGCTTTTATTTTAATCTCAAAACTTAATTCCTAATAATAGGTATGACAGGGCAATGACTGAAACCAGCATAGTAATAATGGCGATTATCCTGAACTTGCTGTTTTGTGTTATTTTTTTTAGGTTAATTATTTGTTTTCAATAAAGCTAGGAAAATAATACGCACTCCTAATGCCACTATGCAAATACAAGCGACATTAAAGTGATCTTCAGGGGAACAGGAAGTTAAATTTAAAATACAAAAGACTACTAGTGTTCAACAATACAGAAGCAATGGGAAGTTTAATGCCTTTGATAGATTGACCAATCATTTAGTAAATTAGCTTCCTAATTGTGAACAGCTGAACAGTTGGAAGCAGTTGTCTCTGGAAGAAATATAGGAAACAATTGTTCCATCAGATGGGCAAAGTTCTCCGTTCTTTTTTTGACAAGGCATGCTGCTCTTTCACAGGGCTAATAGTACACTCAAGAGCAACACCCCCTTCTAAAAATACTACATTAAATGAGCTATTTTTACCCATTTCTTCTTCTTCTTCTTCCATTGAGCCAGAGGCCAATAACTCCTCTGAATAATAAAGGACAAATTTTTCAGTCTTGAGCGGAAGCTCTGTTGCCTCTTGCAAATTTTGCCCTTTTGATGATATGGGGTTTATGTACTCTCTGCCTTTGCTCATTTGACTTCACCCTGTCATGCTCACTTCAGAAGCTCCATTAAGAACCATGGAAGTAAGTGTTCACAAAAGGAAGACAAAAATGCAGGATAAGTAAATCATCCTGCATAACATATTCAGATTTTTTTAAAAGGAGTCAGAAGCTGAAGTATAAATCAAAGCATAATATTTAACGTTGGACAAATATGACAGTGTGACCAGGTGTCCAAGAAGGCCAACAGCATCGTGGCTTGTATCAGAAATAGCAAGGCCAGCAGGATGAGGGAAGCGATCGTGCCCCTGCACTCGGCACTGGTGAGGCTGCACCTCGAATACTAAATGCCTCATTTTCCCATCCAAAATCAGCTTCCTTCTGAGCTTTATTTAACAAGTTAAATCCACGAAATTTAAAGTTTTATTTGCAGGACTGATCTTTCATTTGTCATAGGCCAAAGGTGGTTTTCCAGCTAACACATGTACAAAAGCAGTTGCTAAATCTAAATCAGAATAAATATACAATCCTGTGACAAGTTTCATCAACTGAAAAAAACAGTGGAATAACAAACACTCATTAGCTCTGCAAATTGACAAGACATGTAAATCCCACATTCATGACGGAGCTAAAGGCAGTTACCCAGCAACTGACATTTTCTTGAGTGATACCGTATGTTTCATATTATAAAACAAGGTTCAGAACAAAATACTAATCTTTTTTATTTGTTTCATTCTTCTAGACAATCCCCTCCTCATTGTCAGACCACCTGGTAAGTTTTATTTTGCTGTTTCTTTCACGAAATGCTTAAAACCTGTGCAAAACAGTTACAGTATAGGTGTTAGAATCATATTAACATGCAGTTTGAGTTACAGTTTGGAGCAGGAACAGGTAGTAAATTGTGCTAATTCACAAAACATTTTCTGTCTTGGGACACCTTATTCTGGTCTTTGAAAAGAAATCTTGTAAAGATATATTAGAATAACCATTTGATTTTGACCCATCTTTTGCCTGGTACAACAGCTTTAACTGGATAGTAATGAGCACACAACTATATTGCTTCCGTATCTGTGTCCTTCAGTTGCCTGAGCACAACCTGAGCAGCAGGGTCAGGTTTTCCTACCTCTAGCCATTATGCTCATCTATACCGATCATCACGCCCTTATAAATACTAAAAGGTTCAAGAATTTGTTACTGACCCGAACGATATGCCCTGAAGCTGTTGAGCTTGATTTGCATTTCTAAATTTGCAATAAGCCAGTTCAGCCCCTAATCAGAAGAGCTGATTTCCTGGTGCTGGGACCAACCTTGCTGACATGTACATTGGTAGAGTAACCCCAGGGACCATATGCTCTTGGAAGAGGTGCAGGAAAAAAGACCTCATGTTTATTACGTTCTATCAGCTTTCCTAAGGTGTTCAAATGGTTGGTTCTGGGGCTTTTTGACTACATCGTTCATAAAAATAATGTCCAGTATCTCCCTTCCTTCTGTGTTTTATTATGCTGGTTATTCTGTTTTTCCCATGTCCTCTCAGATGTCTCTGATGATGCACAGGTACTGCAGAGAACACTATTTCTCTGGCAGTCAGTGTGGGAGGCCTCTGAGAGCAGTGGCCTTCCCGTGTCCACAGTCACCTTCAGGTTTTTTGCTGGCAGTTATTTTGTGGGTCTGTTCATGGAAGGGAGGTGTTGGAAGGTAATGGCTTTTGCATTTGTAGTTTCTGCTTCAACTGGACAAAGAAAATATTTTTGTGTGGCTGCAGTAGTGGAGATAAGATAGACGAAAAAGAGGTGGCAGAGCTCTGGGAACCTGTGGAAATGAAGAGCTTCTGAACATCCTGTGCAGCTCTTATAGGACATGCTAAGTTTTTCCTTCAGGATTTTTGGAGGCGGGCAAAAGTGATGTACAAAAGCAGACTACACACACCAATAAAACTGCATTCAGGAAATAGAGAGTTTATTATTTTATTCTGAAGAGAAATCTATGGCCCAAATCCTTCAATCCTTTCACAGTGTGACTAATTGCATAAAACCAGTCCAGTTACATTTGTGTCCACACTGGTGGAGTTTTGAGGATTGCTGACCAGTGATTGCTTCTCCCATGCAAGTGTTTGCAGGATTTGGTCCATGTGCCTAGTGAGAGGGGGGAGGAATGACTAACAAAAAACTTCCAATCTCATTTGTAAACCACCTCAAAATAGCACAGTAAAAGCAGGGCTTTGTGCTGTAGTTAGAGAGAAAAGTACCAGTTATCACAGTGAAAGCTTTTTGTGTAATTCTATATACATTACTACAACAGAAATTTCAAAAGAAATTATATTGTCTTCATTAGTATAAACCAAACATTTAGGTAAGCCAGTAGGAATATCTAGTCTTTTGCAGTACAATTAAGCAGTCTCCTCTGCAGCAGTGCTCTGGACAGAATTCCCCAGGAAAGGACTCGCTTGTCTGTTATTGGAAACTTACCTGTTTTGATGTAATGTGAGAAAACAAAACAGAAGAAGTATGTTTCTGATTTGTTCTTTTCAACCAAATAGCAAGAACAGACTTTACTTCACATCACAGGCTGTTATTCACTGCAGAATTCTTAACGCCTGTTCTTTAGCAAAAGGGTCAAGTTTTTTACTTACTGTTAAAATGCAAGTGGCTGTATTTAGGCAGTGTCACTGTCAGACCTAAGAACAGGCTGTGTTGAGAAAAAAACCTGAATATCACCAAGTAGAGAAGATGTACTAAAAACAGTGAGACTGTTTACTTAAAACTGTGGTTCAGTACATGAAATCACATTTTTAAAAATCATTTTAACAGCTATTATTGTCTACTGCCTAGAAGGGATTTAATCAGGTCCCTTCCTTTTTTTTTTTTATATTTGTTCTTGAAATAGTATTTATGGATATAGAAAAGTCATGCATTAATCAGCTGCAACATCTCTTGTAAAACATATTATTGGTTATTAACCTTAGCAAAACTCAGGCTGAAAAGCTGAAGTCTGTCCTTAATGTTGAATTTGTTTTTCTCCAAGGTGGTGAGCCTATCTGGATCCCATTCACTTTTAAATATGACCCCACCTATTCAGACTGCAGTGGCAAGCAGTATGTGAAACGAACTTGGTACCGCAAGTTTGTAGGAGTGGTTCTTTGCAACTCCTTAAGGTACAAGATTTACCTCAGTGATGACCTGAAAGGTAGGCACCAAGATTAATTTCCTGATATATGATTAGTTGTCATCTCCATCTTCTCACTTTCTTCCCCTCATCTGTGAAAGAACTGTGTGACAGCTATCTGGGAGTCCTTGTGCTAGCTGAGCTGCCCTGCTTTTGCGTTACGCTCATGCCTTGGGTGTTAGCTTTCAAGCAGAGCTCTTTAAACAGAGGACAGGAGGAAGTTTCCCTTGAAAAGCCTGCGTGTGTTTGTATCCTGAGCAGGCAATGTGCTTTGTACTGTGAAAACAGTGCTGCTCCCCACGTGTCTCCCTGGGAAGTCCCACACTTGCTCCATGGGTGGGTGAGACCCGGTGGCATGTGGTCAGACAGAGCAATACACCCCCCTAGAGACTCCCGGGGCAGACTGAAGTGGGGAACAGTGAAGGGAAGACTGGTATTACAGGGACTGGATGAGCAGTACTCCTAAGAGTTAACAGTAGCTCTTACACAGGTGTATTTGCTGAGAGATAATGAAGACAAATTTTCATACTGTTGATTTAGGGTACTGGGATTACCTCAATGGCTTTTCAGATTATGCTAATGTGTTGTTCTTTTTGCAGTGCATTGGTATAGTTTGAAGGCGGCGTTTGAATACACAATAAGAAACAAACAGGGTGGCAGGACCCACCCCATCTGTTAGAGAAAAAGAACTCCACAGTTTTTAGTTTTCATTCGAGACTGAAATCGAACCTTTTGACATATACAGCATTTTTTACTTTCCCATGATATACTGAAATGACTGGTCAGTTGAAATTTCCTCCGCCTGTCACCTGTGGTACAGTGGTCATGGACTTGCAAAATGAGGACTATTCCATACTGAGCTGTAACCCATTTCTCTTGTCCATAATTTCTCCTTCCATACTGTGAAGGTAGCATTCTCCCTCTTTCCAGCCACTGTTTGTTCATTGGTATTATTGTGTTTGTCTCTGTAATACTTCTTCTGTGTTCTCCCACATCTGTTTTCTTGGTGATAAATTGCATCCCAAACAAAAGTAATGCTGAATCAGATAATCTCTCTTTATCACCCTTCAGACACTTTCTACAGCATCGGGGATAGCTGGGGAAGGGGTGAGGACCACTGCCAGTTTGTGGATTCACACCTGGATGGAAGAACAGGACCTCAGTCATATGTTGAAGCCCTGCCCACCATCCGAGGTATGTCAGTGGGTGAGTGGGATGCTGGCCAGGTGCCTGTCTTCCCGTCCATGGGATACAGGGGTAGGGAGTGGAGCACAGGATGGGGATCTTTGTCCACGGCTGCCAGCAGCATTCTGAGTTCACCTGATGCTGTAAGTGATGAGGTGATGCTGTACTCAGGCCTAGCTGAACAGGTTATGAAAGTCCCAGAAGGATTTGTGGGTGCTGAGAGAGAGAGAGAGAAAGAAAGAGAGGTATATATAATGCAAATAATTTAGAGGAACAAAGTGCAAAAACAGAAAAAAAAAAAAAAAAAAGTATAGGTCTATGAAACCTCTCTCCTAATTAAAAGACCTGCCATACTGAATCTAGGTGCAAAAACTCTTCCACATGCCACAAAGGACCAGCTACATCTTTGCAAATACAGCTTTTGCAAATGGTGTCTGACTGGTTCATTCAATGCAAAACACATAGGAATATGTCTAGTGACTTAAGGTCAGTCTGCAAGACTTTTATTTTGGCCTGGTAGATATCTCCTTCTGAGTGAAAATTCTCACCTGGAAGGAGTTTGTCCAAGTAAACTGCTCAGCTCACATAGCAGAGAGGGTGACAGCTTGCTTCACAAAATGAACCCAATCATGAAAGTCAGCCAATATTTTCAATAAGTCTATTGATATAAATTATTGAGTTGGCTTTAATGGTTTCCATGTTAAATTACTTGTTGATACTCTCTTGATGGTGGCATTACCAGGAAGAAACTGAAACAGTCACTGATATTTATATACCACGGGGAAGTACCACATTTCTCAGTTCAAAAGGGGGATGCTTAATCCAGATGTGTATACTAGGTCTAGGAGACAGAGATAGGGAGCGCACAGAAGTTATATCATTGGCACAAGACATGAGTGTTTCAGATGTTCCAGTGCACGAGCTATGTGGAGAAGAATGCTGCACCTCTCCTAATGCTTTAAGCAGTCATATTCCTTCTGCAGATGAAGAAAGAGGGGGAGAAAGGGCTTAACTCCATATTTACTGAATGAAATGATACCTTTTTGTTTAGTGAAAGGCCAATGTTTGTTGATAGTCTGTTAAGATCTATGAGATAATATAATCTGATGGTATTTTTTACCCCAGAGTCCTTCATATATTTAAACTGATTTACAAACTTCATAAACACAGCTGAAATGTAGCCACCTTTTTGAGTGAAATGCAGAAGCTCTTTGGCAGACCACAGCATTACACAATAGTTCAAGAGATTTTGAACAGTAAACCCAGTCAAAATGACAAGAAATATAAAGGACCAGTGTTAAATCATTCAAGAAAGATCTAGGCCAAATACCAGGGCTAGCAAATACCCTTTTGACAGAACTCCCTACCAGACAGCTTCTAAGTTTTCATTTGGGATGTGGAATTGACTCTCACTGTGTCTGTTACTTTTGTTAAATTACTGTCTTTGTTTTGAAATGCAAATGGGCATTTTATTCCCCACAGGATATTACCGCCAGTACCGCCAGGAGCCTGTATCATTTGGACGCATTGGACACACAACACCCTACTACTATGTGGGCTGGTATGAGTGCGGTGTGCCCATCCCAGGGAAATGGTAGCAGTCTGCTTTCCTGTCTTAGGCAGACCATGCTTTTCAAATTATTTCTACCAGAGGACTGTGAGCAACTTATTCGGGGAAAAAAAAAAAAAAAAAAAAAAGAAATGAGGCAAACCCGTGAAGACCAGCTGCTCAAGAAACCCTCATGAAGTCAAACACAGTCCCCCCTTTACCAGCCTAAATCTGTGGTGCTGCTTGATTTCTGTTTGGAAGCAGGGACAGAATATAAGTTTGGTGTCCTACTTTCCTCCTCTGGGTCTGTAAGGCACAGAGAGGCGGTTGCAATGTGTGCAGCCTGTGAAAACTAGAACTGTATTAGCCACGAAAATTTGGAAGTTTCTTATATCTTGCAGGAATGACCTAAGCATGCTGTGCTTGCTTAATGGGATGCTAAACTGCCCTTTGCTGCCCGCTGGGGCTTCCCTATGCAATTGTGCCATGTAACTGGCCACCCACCAAAGGCAATATATTCTCCTGAAGACTTACCCTGTGGGTTCACCCACTGTTGGACTAATCACCAGGTCACAGTGTAAATTCACTCTGAGATATATGTATATCTATATCTATATAAATACAGTACTGTACATCTGCAGAAGTACTGCTTAGTGATGCTGAGATTTTCTTGTTCACTAGATAAATATGTTTGGAATTTTTATGTAAAAGGTGCTGTTAATTCTTTGAGATATTGCTATGCACAATATATTAACCAAGGAAAGAGCTGTATTCTTCTTGTGAGTACTGTTGATCTAACATTTGAATTACTGGTCAAAGATCTGTGTCCCACTTCCTTGGCAGCCTTTGGACTGGACATTCAATGGGAATCTACCCCTCTACCCATGTTAGAGTGTCACTGTGTGGTCCAGCAAAAACACACATTCAATAGTTTATCAGCATCAGTTAAACTTTCTATCCTTTTCTATTTAAAAGTTTTAGTGCAACTTTTCTTCAATCCATTCTCATCTTACTTGGTATGTTATTTATTCCTTGTCAGTATCTTTCACTTCACTGTGAAGAAGCACGGGATGAGTAACTTGCAAATTAGAAACTGCTTTTAACTTATTTGACCTCCAAAAAGAAGCCCAAGCTACCAATACAAGAGTCAACGAGCAGGAAACTCATTTGACTTTGATCCGTCCTGGGAACAAATTGGGATACACTTCCTTTAAAATACTACCACAATCTCTTCCATCCAGACCAGAAAGCAAATACTTGCAATAACGTAGGATTTTAGTAGTTCTTCTGGGCAATCTAGCATTAATGGTTTACTTAGTAATTTTCATGGTCTTACTGTTTCATGGTAACATCTCAACAGCCTTTGCTCATGTTAGTAAGACTCCCCCATTCTGACAACCTGGGAGAGCAGCAGCATTCCTGGGGAATGGGTCTGGTCTCTGGTCCATCTCTCACTCTTATTCGAGCTTACGTGTAGTATAAGTCTAATACCTTTTCAGTTGCTTCCTGTAGTTATTGTAAATTGTATGGGGACAAAAAAGGAACTAAAGTGATTAAAAGAACATTTTATTTTTCATGGTGATTCGGGTTTTAACATTTTAATTGTTCTCACATACTTTTGCTTCAGTACAGTGCCAAATATATGGTCTTGAAGTATAACTTTTTTCCCTAATAAACCTATGATACATGGTTCCATTTCTATTTCATCCTTTCTGCTCATCTGTGTCAAGTAATCTGACAAAGCAACAAACCGTTAGTTTTCAAAAAGTCTTCCTTAGCAGAGGAGTAGTTTTCAACTTTTTCTAAGGGGCTGGAAGTATGTGAGTGTGTTGTTCTCTTTCAAAGGTGGTTAGCAGCTAGTGTGGAGTTACCAAGGGCAAATCATGGCTGAACAACCTGATCACATTCTTTGTTGAGATGACTGGCTCTGTGCAAAAGGGGAGAAAAGTGGATGTCATTGACTTTGGCTTTTGTAAGGCGCTTGGCATGGTTTCCCACTGTGTGCTTGTAGCCAAACTGGTGGGATATGGCTTGGATAGTTGGACTTTAAGGTGGTCTTAAAATTAGCTGTGTCATGAGGCTCAAAGGGTTGTGATCAAAAATAGTGCAGTCCAAATGACAGCTGGTTGCAAGCGCCACCCCTAGGGTCCAGTACTGGGACCAATGCTATCTAATGTCCTGGACAATGGGATGGAGTGTGTGGATGGAGTGCACAGATGGAGTGCACCGTCAGCAAGCTGGGGCTGGGGCTCGGGAGTGGTTGATGTGCTGGAGGGCAGAGCTGCTCATCAGAGGGACTTTTATGTGCTGAAGAAATGAGCTGTCAGGAACCTCATGCAGTTCAGCAAAGGAAAGTGAGAAGTCCCACGTGGGGGATGAAATAGCCCCTTGCGGTAATACAGGCTGGGATGACTGTCCAGGGAGCAGCTTTGCAGACTTCAGAGTCCTTGTGAACAACAGATCGAATGTGAGCACTCCAGAGATCCATTCCAACCTAAATTATTCAGTGACTTTTTATGATTCTAGAGAAGGCATCCAATAATAAAAACTATTTTTTTCTTCTATTGAATCAAAGTCATCCCTTGGTCCAAAGCCTAGTGATCAGCATATGTGAGTGGGACTTGTGCCACTGACTCTAAAGAGCAGGGCCTGATTTCACCAGTCATGGTTTGGCCTACTGCATAAAGATGGATATTTCCTCCCCACAGCCAATTCTTTCTGCATTTTCACCTTTGGAGACCACAGGTGGGTTTTGATTTGTTGAACTGTAGAGATGTGGTTTCTTTATTCCCTGCTGGAAATACTCTTAGGGTGGGAGAGTCCCATTCAGGGATGTCATCATGGGTGAAGAGCTGAGGCCATCATTTTTTTGCAGCCTCAGCTGGGGAGGATCTGGGGGGTGTTGGGGGCAGAGGTGGAGGGCACTACGCACTGTTCCACTCCAGTGTAAAAATTCTTTGATGCTAAGTCAGCCAGGGCAGAGTCAGCAGTAGGACACAACAGGGAAACACATGAAACGCAATGGTGTGCAGCCTGTTCCCCTCACTTTGAGGTCTGGGTAAGTCCTCTGTGCTGTGTGAGGTGATCTGATTGACACATTTGCATCCTTTATCCCATGCGCAGGGTAACACATTATTGTGATAAGAGGGAGTTTCTTGAAGAGATTATACTATTTTTGCTCTTCGTTTATCTAGGAGGTGGTGTGATTAAAGAGGCAACTAAATCCATCAGGAAAGCCACCTCTGATCCAGATCCTCTCTCCATGGCCCTGGCCGTGCCCTGACCAATGGGCCACCCTCCCCTTTCCCTCCCCTGCTTTCCCACTGTCCCTGTGACACACTGGCCCTGCTGTGCCACTGTAGGAGAAGCAGCACGCCCACTTGGAGGTAAACCCTGTCTCCATCGGAATAGCTGTACAGCTTTGAGACTGTGCTGAGTACCAGGGGACATAATATTGTTCCAGACGGTGCTAATGGGAGAGGGACGGGTCCCTCCCTCCATCAGCTGTCTTCCCATGTACACCCCCTTGCTGGCAAAGCCACATCTGCATCTGGTCTCCAAACCCTTGGTGTCAGCTTGGAGAATGCCATGTTCCTTCAGAGGCTCTGAGGGGTGTTGCACCAACCCTGCTTTCTTGTCAGAGCAATCCTTGAGGGAATGGGATGGAGGAGAGGGAGGATCTCCACAGAGAGAAAATCCACACAGCTTGTGACTGCATTGCCTCTGGTCCAAGTTCCTCCAGGGCAGAGGGATGCCAAGGCCCTGCCTGGTGGGGAGTTGAACAGAGCTGGAAAAGAAAAGGAGAAAAACACAACGGGGGCAGGGGTGGGGAGGAAAAGACAGGCAAAGAAGTTGCTCTAAGTATTGTCTGGCCCTGGTCAGTTCCAGATGCTAATCTCTGATCACTGTACCATATTTTTGAGAGAATTGGGATTTCTGCCTCAAAGGCAGCAGGAACAATTGCCAGCATCTGAGAAATGCCAAGGGCTTTCAGGGGCAGCCAAATCCCAGCATGTGGACCGGGGATGCAAACAGAAGAGCTCTTCGGTGATGAAGGAGGAACTGGGTGTTGCTTGGAAAGATAATTGAAGGCCTTCGCAGGAGGTAACCCAACCCACTGAACAATGTAAAATGCTCCTGGTGGTTCCTCCCTACAAAAAATTACACGGTTTTCTCTCCCCAAAACCCATGTCCTTTTTTCTCACCAGGCAGATGGATGTTATTCATGCGAAGAGCTGCCTTCCTCCAGCAGAAGAGAATGAGGTAAATGCAGAAGGGAATGAGATCAACACTGCAGCAGTAGTTCAGCTCTGCTTCCCAAGGCGAAGCTGGCATCCATGGACGTCTAAAAAATCCCACCCCTGGAGAGCTGCCAGTCTGCCTGAGGGCCCTTAGCTGGTAACATTTGAAAACAAAGCCATGCCTTGTACTGCTGCTCCCTTTCCCTTCATGCTTCTGTGTCCCATAAAGCAGGAAGCACTCCCACAGGACTTGTGCCATATCACTGTGCCAGCTGCACCACAACAATCAGTGAAAAGTACAGCCCTGGTGGGAATAAGCACTCGGAGCAGAATAATGCCAGAATTGTAGCCAACTGTGATAATCATGGTGTCAACATCAGGAAGTTAAGTGTCAAAGGCAACAGCATGGGGGCCAGGTCCTTGCGTGCTAACAGTTGTCATAACTCTTCAGTGCCAGTTGTGTAGCTCCTCAGTGCCAGTTATGTCACCCAGTTCCAAACACAACTTGACCAGCAGAAGAAGAGCTGGTGGAACATCCACATGGCACACGCCAAGGAATAACGTACTTGCAGCAATGAAGGTCAGCCACAGACTGAGCTGTGTTAGAAAGGACACAGCCAGTGGGATCAGTGATAGAATTCTCTGTTCAGCACAGGTGAGCCTGCACGTGGAGTGCCACTGGCCCTCCAGTACAAGGCAAACTGGAGTAGGTCAAGGAGAGGGTGACCACAGTGGTTAGGGGACTGTTGCACAGGATGTACAAGGAGAGGCCGAGCGCTGGGTTTGTTCAGCTTTGTGGAAGGAAGGCTTCACTGGCAGTGGTGGATCTAATCGATATCTTCAATGGCCTAATGGGATTGTAAAGAAGATGGAATCGCAATTTTCTGAGAGGCATACAGTGAAAGGATGAAGGGCAATGGACACAAACTGCAACATGGGAAATTCCAAGGAAGTATTGGGAAAATGTTTTTATCATAGGGGTGATCAAGCACAGGAACAGCAACCCAGAGAGGTGGGGAAAACTCCATCCCTGAAGGTGCTCATAACTGGCCTGGAGAGGGCTGTGAGTAACCCAATCTAGCTTTGATGTTGGCCTTGCTTTGAACAGTGTATTGGACTTGACTTCCAAAGGTTCCTTGCAACCTGAAGAAGTGTACAAGTCTATGAATAACATCAAACACCGCATCATGCAGCCAGACAAAACCAGAACCAAAATTTCACAGAAGCAAAGCACAAGCTCCAGGAAATTTTCACAGTGGATTTATTTATTGAACAAAAATAATCATAGGCTCACATAATGGCTGATGTGGAAGGGACTCTGAGGATTGCCTAGTCCAATTGCCTCTGCTGAAGGCAGGGTCAGCTACAGCAGGTTACACAGGACCGTGTCCTCTCACGTTTAAAGTATCTTTGAGGATGGAAACTCCACAGTTTCAGAAACCTGGGCCAATGCTTAACCACCATCCCAAAATAAAAACTATTTTTATAAAATTTATTAAATTTATAAAATACATACAAATCAAAAATATTTTTATGTGGGGTTTTCTGTATTTCAGTTTGTGCCCATTGACTTCTGTCCTGTCACTGGACACCATTGAGAAGACCCTGGCTCCATCTTCTTTACTCCCCATATCAGGAATAAGATCCCACTGAGCCTCGTCTTCTCCAAGCTGAAAAGTCCCAGCTCTCTCAGCCTTTCCTTATATCAGAGATGCTCCAGCCCCTTCATCATATTCATAACCCTTCACTGGACTCTCTCCATTACGTCCATACCTCTCTTGTACTGGAGAGCCCAGGACTGAACACAGAGTACTCCAGGTGTGGCCTCACCAACACTGAATAAAGGGGAAGGATCACCTTTTTGGAAAAAAACACCTTAATTAAAAAAAAAAAAAAAAAAAAAAAAAAGCCTTTTTTTTTTTTTTTTTAACTAAATGGAAGTTGCAAGCTGGCTCCCCGGTAAAATTGTGACCATTTGTGAGGATATAAGGGAGGCTGTGAGGGCAAGAGAGGAAAGGACTGTAATATGTTAGACTCCCATGAAGAATTTCTGACCTTGGCTTCTTGCTGTGAGTAGGTCCTGTACATGCTTTCCAAATGTGACCTGTGCAAGCTCACAGCTGCGTCTGGGGTTCGGGTCACACGTAATTGTTGGTGATACCCTCATGTTTATGGAAAAAGCCTCTAGATGGCAGGAGATGCTATTTGGCCAGGCACTGCAGGAGGCACCTACAGTAGGGACTGAGTGGCAGGAGTGCAGATGGCATGTGCTTTCAGCATTGCACACACATAGCGAGAAATTTGTTTTAATGAGAGCAGTTCTGGTTCAGGAGCAAGAAAGTCCATTCCCAGATCGTAGAGAGATTCTCTAAGAAGGAGTCCATCCCTCACAAGGCAAAACTTGCTATCTGTTATGTCTAAAGATTTGGAAGGATTTAAGTAGAAACAAAGTGA